GGGTGGGTGTGTGGGAGCCGAGGGAGTGGCGCTAGGGGGTGTAGTGTGAGCGGTGCTAGGGGAACAGCAGGGGGTGTGTAAAAAGGGGGTGGGACAGCTGGGGGAAGTTGAGAGGAGGCCGTCGACTTGTCGTCCGCAGCGCCTGAAGTCCAGGGAGCCACGACCCCCTGTGGCCTGAGTAGTCCGGGGCTCTGCGCCCGGTAGCTACAGTGTGTGCACTCCTGGGAGCACAGCGAGCCAGCTGCGACCCCCTGTCGCCGTGTAGTCCGGGTTTAGCCTGGTAGCGTCAGTGCGGCGTACTCCTGCTGCCTGTGTGTCTGCAGCTTCAGCCGTCGCCTCTCATCTTCTTGCTCCCACAGTTTCTCCTCCTCCTCACTTGCCCTCTGTGATAGCCTCTAGCTTTGTGAACTATTGCTCTGTCTGCTTGTTATGTTGATTGTACCCCACTTTGACTATGGGGGTGTGTCAGAATGTGATGGTTGTCTAGCCTGCAGTGGGGTACTCTATAGCGAGTACAGCCCTTCTAGGGTTTGCATATATGTATCCCTATGCTTGTTAGTCAAAACCCTTCTTGCCTGTTTCTCGTTTTGGCCTAGCATTTTGACAGGTGGCACTGTTGGAGCATTTGGATTTAGGGAATCCTGGAAGAACTGCCTGTTACCGTACTCTTGAAGATTCTGAGTTCTGGGATGTTATGATACTCACTGAGACTACGGAGAAATAACTCATGGCATGATACTCATCCCAGAGAGATATGATACATTGACAGCTTGCATCACTCTTGCCACATCCTTCACATCATAAGCCCTGCTTCCTAGCTCATGGTCCCTTCACTCCCCGCCTCCATTGCTTCTGTTCCTTCTCCATTCCTCTCCGCTTTCCTTGTCTTCTCTCCTCTCCTCTCCTCTCCTCTTCTCTCCTCTCCTCTCCTCTCCTCTCCTCTCCTCTCCTCTCCTCTCCTCTCCTCTCCTCTCCTCTCCTTTCTGCTCCCGCATCTCCTCCTCTCCACCTCTCCTCTCCCCTTCTCTTCGTACGATAGCATCACCACTGTCTTTGGAAACTCCTGCTTCCATGTTCATATCTTCTCCTTGATAAATCTTTCCACATCAATCGTCTTCAGCACCTTGTACCTCCCACCCACCCCCAGGTCTCTCGGCAACCTTAGCGACTTTTGAGACGTCCCAAAATGTTCACATCATTTCCTTGATAAGTCTTTCCACATCAATCGCCTTCAGAGCCTTGTACTCCCCCATAGTCAGAGACTTTCCTGCTTTCCATGTTCACATCTTCTCCTTGAGTAACCTTTCCACATCTACTGTTTTCAGGGCCTTGTATTTCCCCACCCCGAGGTCTCTCGGCAACCGCAGAGATCCAATCCTAACTCTCTTCAACCCAAGCACCTCCAAACCAGCAGCTTCGGCAAGCCTCCGAACCTCCCTGTTCCTCCCCTCCGCCACAACCACCCTCACCCGCTCCCTCCCCTTCCCTCCTCCGCTTCCTCCTGTACCCCCTTTATTGTCGCTATCCGTTACAAGGTCGAGGGCTACAGGTGTGCAGAGCACACCGTCCACATCAGTTCCTGCTGCCATGGTTGCCAGCTGGCGCTTGGTGATTGGACCCTGAACCGTGAGAACGTACCTACAAGAACACAAGAGGGGAAGGGAAGTTAGTGAGGAGAGAATGCGAGGGTTGGTGAGGTGAGGGGAGGGAGGGAGGGAGGGAGGGAGGGAGGGAGGGAGGGAGGGAGGGAGGGAGGGAGGGAGGGAGGGAGGGAGGGAGGGAGGGAGGGAGGGAGGGAGGGGAGGGGAGGGGCGAGGGGACGGCGGGAGGGGGGGAGGGGAGAGGAGGTGAGGGGAGGTTAGGCGAGAGGAAAAGGGGAGGAGATAAGAGAGGAGGGGAGTGGGGGTAGAGGGGAGGGAAAGGGATGGGAGGGGAGGTGAGAGTGGGGGGGGGGAGGAGAGGGGAGGAGGGGAGGAGAGGCGAGGTGAATTGTGGGGAGGAAAGCAAAGGGAAGGCAGGTGCAAGAGAAATTCGAAGGGTGCTCAGGAAAGTAGGTGGTAAAGAGAGACAGCAATGGGAAGGGCAGATTGTGTGCATTGGCGGCATATCACCAAAAAATAATAATAATAATAATAATAATAATAATAATAATAATAATAATAATAATAATAATAATAATAATAACAATAATAATAATAATAATAATAGTAATAATAATAATAATAATAATAAAACCCTGAACCCTCAAACGCACTCTTTAGTAAGCCCAGCAGAAGGGTGTGCGATCTGCTGCGCGAAGTTCCCGTCGTTGGTAACCAGCAGCAGCCCTGTCGTCTGCACGTCCAGCCTCCCCACAGTGAACAGCCGTGGCCTTGGAATTCCCGGATTTCTCTTCTCCCAAACCTTCAAATACTCCTCCACCAAACTAACCGCCGTCTTCTCAATACCGCCGCCGCCGCTGCCGCCGCTGCTGCTGCTCTCGCTAGAGTCATCGCTAAACCCTGAACCCTCAGCCCTGCCAGGTCGTGATTTCCCTCCGCTTCTACTGTCGCGACCTGAGGGTTTAGGCGACTGAGGGGAGAAGGAAACGAGACGAGGAAACTTCCTGCTGAGGCGCGTTGGAGCAGATATATCCCTTGGGTTTATTCACCATGAAATAAAGCCTAGGCGGCGCCTTTCGCGGTAGTGATTTTCCGTCCACGTAGATCGAATCTTTCATGGGATCGACCGCGGTTTGCGGGACTGTACACGTGTTACCGTTTACGGTAACCCGCCCGGCGAAAATGATGTCTTCGCATGCGCGCCGCGACGCGATCCCCGCTGCGGCGAGGACTTTGCTCAAGCGCTGCCCGCGCTGCGCGGCTTCGCGCTCCGCGCTGCGGAAGCGCTCGTTGAAAAACCGCCGCGCGGCTTTGGAGTAGCGGGGGGCGGAAGTCGGTCCCGCGGGTTTTTCCCGTGTGCGCGGCCTGCTGCTGGCGGAGGCGCTGCTTCCGCTGCTGGCGCTGCTCCTGGGGGAGCTCGCGGAGGACTTGGCGGAAGAGGAGGGGGAGGCGGAAGAGGAGGGGGAAGGGGGAGCGGGAGCGGAGTCGACTGCGGGACGCTGTGTGGTAAGCGAGAGTTGACCTGTCGGGGAGAATACGAGGAGCGGAACCGCTGGTCTGCCACTAACGGGTCTGCTGCTAACGGGAGCGTTGCTGCTATTGGTGCCTCCCTTCGCTCCGCTTCCGCTTCCGCCACCGCCGGCGCCGTCGTCGGCGGAAGCAGTGGTGATTGATTTAACCGAGGTGGTTGGCTGCGAGTTCTCCACGTGGCAGGGGATGGCACGTGGAGCGAATGAGATTGCGCCACGTTGAAAGAGGGATTGCGAGGAGCTGGAGAGCGAAGGAAAAATACACGTGGACAGTGACCTGGATGGAAGAATTTTAAAAGGAGGGACTCCATATAAAGTGGCACTGGGACTCATGGCGAGGCGCTTAACGGCAGCGGCGGAGGACGATGCGAGATGGTGCGACGCGGACTGCCATGAACAAGCCATGGCCATGTTACGAGGCGAACAATGGCGATAGCGAATTAGCGAATGACGAACTGCTGAATGGCGAATGGGGATAAGCAAATCGCGGGTGGCGAATGCAGCAGCACTGGAGTAAACAATGTCGCAAAATTCTGGTCCGCGCGCAAACCCTAATCGGCCACAACTCACGAGAATAAACATCGATGGTCAGACCTAAGGGCGTGTAAATTCGCCGAACCCAGAAATTCGGCCACCATCCCTCGGGTCGTTTTGGCGCGAGTACCCATTTGAACCCCAAATTACCAAGCTGTCTTGTAGCCGAACCCCTAAGTACCCTTTTGGCCGAAAAGCGGCCCAAAGCTAAATTCGCAATTGCGGGGGGAATTGACGCGCCCTAAGAACCACTATATCGACGCCAAGAAGTTCGGTGAGACAAGCGAGGAGAAAAGCAATAAGAGTTCGGTTTGAGAAAACTTGGATGAGTGAAAGTCGGCCTTGGTACGATATGACAAGGGCGAGGGAACGAGACAAAGGTTTGTGCTTCGTTAGGGCGACGTCAGGTTGTACAACATTTTGTACGCCCACTGCGGTTAACTTCGTTTCAACACGGTGCATGGCGGTAAACGTTGAGAACCGCTTCTCACCGTGTTCTACCGTCCGTAAGCCCATGAGAAATGTATAACCTGACCTTGCCCTTAGAGACTCGACAGAGTGTGTTGTGCTTGTCGGTGGCATATTTTTGTGCTCATCTTGAATACACCTTAGAAGAAGACTTTATGATGGCAAGACATTGATGGCGAAAACATGACACGAAATTAGTAATATGCACTAAAACACAGATGGTACATTTATACTACAGCACACACTTGTTGCACATCATGTTAATCCATATCCCATTTATTCCTTTTGCCAACACACCTAGCAACCTTTCCATGATCCCAGAGTACAAGATAACGCTCGTACCATTTCTTCAAACTTGGTCCTCCGCAGTGGTCAAAACCACCAAATGGCGCACCCGTATCGACTCGCTCCTTTCCTAACAGAAGCACCGCGATCCCGGCGCCCTCCATTCTAAGTTATACGTTCCATCGCTCTCCATTATAAGTTATGTAGTCTGGGAAAAGAGACGACTTTTCCCCACTTATTGCGCCTGTAACGAGCCCTGCAGCCGGAGCAGCCTCACCACCAAATTCTCCATACTGGGTCAATCAACACCGCGGGTTGTCCTGCATGCACTCCTTAGCCAGCACATCAAGCATGCGCACCACCATGCGCCGCATGGCACTGCACCACTCTCCACCGCAGTCCGTTCCCTCTTACTGTGCTTGCAGTGAGTCCTGCAGCCGGAACAACCTGACGACTAGATCCTCCATACTGGGCCGACACCTGGGGTCATCCTGCATGCACTCCTTAGCCAGCACATCAAGCATGCGCACCACCATGCGCGCCTCACCGCACTGCACCTCTCTCCACCACAGTCCGTTCCCCCTTACTGCGCTTGTAGGGAGTCCTGCAGCCGGAAAAGCCTCACCACTAGATCCTCCATACTGGGCCGGCACCGCGGGTCGTCCTGCATGCACTCCTTAGCCAGCACATCAAGCATGCGCACCACCATGCGCCGCGTGGCACTGCCGCACTCAGCGCTGCGGGCAAGGTCGTCAGTGTAGGGCTCGGCCCAGTCAAAGAGGGCCTCTGCTCCGTGCTGCTGCGCCGTGCTGTGTGCGCCCTGCCGGCCCGTGAGGAGAGAGAAGAGTACAACTCCGAAGTCAAACGCGTCCTTTCCCATGCCCTCCGCTCCTGGTGGTAATGGGGAGAGGGGAGTGGGGGGTGGGACCGTGGGGGTGGGGAGGAAGGGAGTTGGTGAGGTGAGATGGGAATTTATTAGCAGTGAGAAGAGCACCACCCCAAAGCCAAACGCGTCCCTCCCCATGCCCTCCGCTCCTGAGGTGGAAAGGGACAGAGAGGGGAGAATGAGAGGGGATAGGAAGGTGACGGGAAACGTGAAATCACCTTCCTCTTGATTGATACGGAAAAGGTCAATCGGGACCCTCCCCATGCTGTCGACCTCTGAAGGTTGGATTGGGATGGGAGGGTGAGCGAGGCAGAACGGACACATTGGCTGAATCAATAAGTCACACGAGTCAAAAGAGTGCAGGACGTAAAGCACTCATTCTTGAGGGTCTTCTTGGATGACCCTTTGGCCAGTATTGCCGCCAGCGAGTCAAGCAAGTCAAGAAAGTCAAGCAAGTCAAGGATTTCAAGAAAGTGAAGCAAGTCAAGAAAGTAAGAAGAGGGAAATCGAGAGCTCACCCTTGAGGGTCTTCTTGGACGACCCTTTGGCCAGTATTGCCGCCAGCCCATAGCCCGTCAGCAGGGCCGTGTAGCTCTGCAGGGAGAAGTGGGTGAGCACAGACAGCGGCAGGACAGGGACATGGAGGTAAGAGGCACATGGAACATGTGAGGGACAGGCAGGGGAGATGGCATTGAAAAGGAAAAAAAAAAAAAACAAACAGACTTTTTTTTTAGTATACATGGACTGAACTGAACGCGTTGCCATTCTTTCAGCACAGGAAAAAAAAAAAAAAAAACCATTTTGCACTTGTAATAAGAAACACCCGATCCTGAACATAAGCATGCGAATTACCGCATCCAGCGTGACATGGCAGCACATGAGATTTACCGTAGATTAATGTGCACAGTTCACTCTCGTTATAAGCACCAAATCCAGCATGACGTTGCAGCACATGAGATGTCGTAAGCCATCGACTTGTATGTAATGTGTGCTGTGTACACTCCATACTCGTTACAAGCACCCCACTCACCGAATCCAGCATGACGTTGCAGCACATAAGGTTGCCGTGAACCACCGACTTAGAATGCAGGTAGGCTAGCCCCTTGGCCACACCTATCGCCACCTTCACTCGCACTCTCAGAGGCAGGAAGTCTCCATCCACGCCCTCTGGAGTGATTAGGGGAGCATGGAATGGGAGAGATGGTTGACTTGACATCTGCCCCTTGCCCACGCCTATTGCCGCCTTCACCCGCACACAGACGGGCAGGAAGTCACCACCCACGCCTTCTGGAATAGGCAGAGACGGGCAGTGGGGGACAGCACCCCGTGTTTCTTTTAAAAGTTAAGGCAGAGCCAGATAGCACCCCACAGTTTCCATATTCTCAACCATTCCAAAGCAGGCCCTGCCATACCTCCCTGTATTAAAGCTTAAAGCTCACCTGGAAAGAGGTAGTTTTCAAGGGAAGCGGAGTTGGGGGGGAGGTCGTATGCGATCTGTACGTCGTCTTTCTCCAGGGCATATCCCAGGATCTCCGCTAGGTTGGCGTGCTGCAGTGCTACCAGGGCTTGAATCTCCTTCTGTTGCGTCATGCACCCACGTGAAAGGGAGGAGGGGATGGGAGGATGATGAGAGGGTATGGGGTTGAAAGGGAAGGCTGGAAGAAGGTCGTATGCGATCTGCACGTCGTCCTTCTCCAGTGCATATCCGAGGATCTCCGCCAAGTTGGCGTGTTGGAGTGCAACGAGGGCCTGAATTTCCTTCTGTTGCATGTGATGCAGGCACGTGGCAAGGGAGGAAGGCATGGGGTGATTGTGTCATGCGATCTGCTCGTCGTCCTTCTCCAGGGCATATCCGAGGATCTCAGCTAGGTTGGCGTGCTGCAGGGCTATCAGGGCTTGAATCTCCTCCTCTTGCATGCAGGCAAGGCATCTGCATGCATGGGAGGAGGGCATGAGAGGGAGAAGGCATGAGAGAGGGAATGGTGAGGAGACGACGAATGGGGAGGGCAAGGCGAATTAGGCTGGAGGCAAGGTGCATGCAATGCAAGCCATAGCGCACAACCCACCCCCACCCCGGACTCAACTGCCTTCCCTGTTGACCGCGTCCCATCTAAATCAACCTAGTTGATAAGTTGGAGTGATTTTTTAAAAGCCTCGAACATAGCAGCCCCACCCACCATCCCAGACTCAATGGTCTTCCCTATTGACCGCGTCCCATTTGATCTACCCAATTGATTAATCAACGGTTGTGATTCATTCACTCAATCAGCTCACCATCTTATTCTTCTTCCCCAGCGTAGCAGACAGAAACTTCTTGGCCGTTTCAGGCAGCGGCGACGACGGCGCCATGAGAGGCGACTTAGTCCCCCCTCCCCCTCTTGGAGACTTCGCCCCTCCTCCCCCCCGCGGCGACTTTTGCCCTCCGCCCCCTCGCGGCGATTTCGCCCCTCCCCCACGGGGAGACTTGGCACCTCCTCTCCCCTCCCCGCCCACCTCCTCTTTTGTCTTGGAGTGCGGAATTGGGAGGCCGAGCATGAGAGACGCGAGATCCAGCGACCTCGACTTGGGGATTTTCCCCGGCTGCTTCGAGGGAGCTTGAGCTTCTTCCTGTGAAGGCTCCCTTGCATGTCCCCTCTCCCTCCCCCGCTCCCTCCCATGCCCGCCCCCACGCTCCCTCCCATGCCCGCCCCCACGCCCATGCCCACTCCCCGGCCGGTCTCTGCTGCTCTCCCCATGTGTGCGCGCGTACCCCTGCCGATGCTCCACCTGCTCCTCCTCCTCCCCATCTTCCAACTCATCATCCTCCCAGTGGCCCTGGTCAATCGGGTCTGGCCGGTGGTGGTCTGAATGGTGGTGGTCTGCTCCATGGGGGTTTGACTGATGGGAGTCGGGTCTCCGAGTGTCGGTATCACACTCCTCATGCCCGTACATCTCACGGCTTTGAGGAGACAGCGGCGCTCCGTAATCATCGTCGTCCTCTTCCTTCTCCTCCTCTCTCTCACTCTCCCTCTGCTGGGGTGACTGCTGATACCGAAGCCGCGACTGATGGTGCTGCTGCTGCTCCTGATGTACGCTTCTCCTCTCCTCCTGGAAGCTTCTCCTCGCCTGATTCGGCTGCTTCAGCTGCCTTGATTGCATCTGCTGCTCCTTCTGCTCCTTACCCCGCCTCTCCTGCTCCTTGCTGCTCTGCCCGCTCTCGCTCCGTCTAAACAGCCCCCTCTTTCCTCCGCTGCCCCCCTCCCCTCTGCTCCTGGGTCTTCCTCCTGGTGTGGACGGCGTAGTGGGCGTTGTCGGGACTTCCCCTCCAGAAACGGTCTTAGAGTGTGGAAGGAACCCTCTCAGCGCACGGGCAGCAGGCTTAGGGGAGAGAAGCTGAGAGGAGATATTTGCAGCAGACGCACCACCACCACCACCACCACTACCACCACTACCAAACCTACCACCACCACTCCCATCACTCTCCCTATCTGAATCATCCCCCACCATCCACCTCCTCCCAAACCCCCCTTCCAATTCCCCCTCCTCCCCTTCTTCCGTACTATCCACCCTCTCAACTCCCCTCCTCCCCCTCACCAATCCAGTCATCGATGCTGGTACAGCCGATAACGGTGCCTCTGCTTCCGGCCCCCCTGCTTCCCTCCCCCGGGAACCTTCCTGTTGGCTTCCTTCCGAGCCTGATTCCGAGGGCAGGTTCGCGAGATTCATGTCGGATTTCGAGCGGACCGGCGGGAATTTCGGGCGCCAGAAATCTTTCTGGAAAACGTTTATTCCGCCCGGGATTCGCGGCGAGAGCATGGGGAAGGCAGCAGCAGAGGAGGGTCTAGGGGTGGAAGCACCACCACCACCACCACCACCACCACCACCACCACCACCACCACCACCACCACCACCACCAGCACCACCACCAGCAGCAGCAGCGGCGGCGGCAGCAGCAGCGTCGGGAGAGGTGACAGAACCACTGCGTGTGTGGGTTCTGGGTGAAAGTGGGGCTTTAAGCTGTTCCTTCTCATGCTGCTGCTGTGATTGTTGCTGCTTCTGCTGCTGCTGCCCCCCTCCCCTTCCACTCCCTCCTCTCCCCCCTCCTCTTATCTCACCAGACTTACTAACACCTGCTTGCATGGGCTGTGGCTGAGCGTGTGAGGAACCTTCCCGGAAGGAGGAGGAGCGGGACGTTGGGGTGGAGGCGGAGGTAGTAGAGGAGGAGGAGGAGGTTCGGGAGAAGGTGGGTCGGCTCGAACCTGACCCGGCTCGGCCGAACGTGGGGAAGCCTCGGAGACTGCCCGAGGCTGTGGCTGCTGCTGCTAGGGCTGGAGAGGCGGGAGAGGGGTCGAATGGGAGAGAGGGAAGAGGAAAAAAAAAGGAAAAAATCAAGAAGAGGGGAGAAGGAAGAGAACGGTGGACAAAGGGAGGAGGAAGTGGGGTGAGACGGTTCTTTAAAACGTCTCGAAAAGACTTTTGAGATGTCTTAAAAGTCGTGAGATGGTTCTTCAAACTTCGTATAAACGCTGTCCCATGCTCTGGGCTGGAGAGGGGGAAGAGACACCACACATCTTGCTGTCTGATGGTCTTGAGTCGCCTCACCACCTCCCCTCCCCCATAGCAGGGCGGTCCATGCACAGGCGCTGCACACACATGGCGGCCAGACTGCCCACGGCCTATCCCACCCACCCACTACTACCCTATGCCACAAGCAAGACTCACCCTGCTGCCTAATCGACTTGAGTCTGCGAACCACCTCCCCCATGGCAGGACGGTCTTTTGGCAGGCGCTGCACACACATGGCGGCCAGACTGCCCACCGCCTGCAGCGCGAGCGAGGGATGGGGGTGGGTGCGGCTCCCTCAACCCCCCACAGCTCAAACCCCACGACTCACCCTGCTGCCTAATCGACTTGAGCCTGCGAACCACCTCCCCCATGGCGGGTCGGTCCTTGGGCAGGCGCTGCACACACATGGCGGCCAGACTGCCCACCGCCTGCAGTGCCTGCGGGGTGCTCGACTCCAGCAGTACTGGGTCCGCGACTGAGTCCGTGTGCCCGCTGCAGATGGCGGGGGTGGCCTGTGGGGAGTGGGGGGCCGGTGTTGGGGGGATGAGGAGTATGAGAATCACACAAAGGGGTGCTCGACTCCAGCAGTACAGGGTCCGCTACTGAGTCTGTGTGACCGCTGCAAATGGCAGGGGTGGCCTGTGGAGTGGTTGGAGGAGAGGGGAACAGGGAAGAAGCTCAAAAGGCAGTGCCTGCGGTGTGCACGACTCAGGCAGCACAGGGTCTGCCACTGAGGCCGTGTGTGTGCCCACCGAGGCCGTGTGCCCACTGAGGCCGTATATCATTTAACCTCCACCCGATCGCTCTCCTCCCCTCACTCACCCATTTAGCGAGCGATCCTCTCCTGCGTCATCCGACTCCTCGAGAGCGGGCGCACGCTACCTGCCCCCTTCAACATTGCCCTTTTAACCATTGGATGTTTCCCTTTCACCCCACCCCTCTCCTCCCCCCACTCACCCATTTAGCGAGTGCCATTCTCTCCCCAGCGTCGTCTGACTCCTTGAGGACGGGCGCCTTGCCTGTGATCAGCTCCAGAAGGACCACTCCAAAGCTGCCACGTGGCATGCACACAGAGAGAGAGAGGTATGGGGACACGTGGACAGGGTACACAACATGGAAGTCAATAATTCATTTATAAATAGATAATAAGAAATTTATGCGAAGTACTAGGTGCAGAAAAGACGAGAACAATAAAAGACGTCAGAGCGACGTCAGAGCGATCAGACACGTTGCTGGTCTGGCAGTACTGCGGATCCAGGTAGCCCGGCGTGCCCACCACGCGTGTGTGCGTGGTCGATGTGGACTCATCACACGCTAGCAAGCACACGTGAAACACTCTATCAATTGTATCCCTCCCTACCTGTAGACATCAGAGCGATCAGAGACGATGCTGGTCTGGCAGTACTGCAGGTGCAGATAGCCCGGCGCGTCAGGGTTTACCCATACCAGCATACGCTTACATACACGCCTCAGCCTACCTGTAGACATCAGAGCGATCAGAGACGATGCTGGTCTGGCAGTACTGCAGGTCCAGATAGCCCGGCGCGTCAGGGTTTACCCATACCAGCATACGCTTACATACACGCCTCAGCCTACCTGTAGACATCAGAGCGATCAGAGACGATGCTGGTCTGGCAGTACTGCAGGTCCAGATAGCCCGGCGCGTCAGGGTTTACCCATACCAGCATACGCTTACATACACGCCTCAGCCTACCTGTAGACATCAGAGCGATCAGAGACGATGCTGGTCTGGCAGTACTGCAGGTCCAGATAGCCCGGCGCGTCAGGGTTTACCCATACCAGCATACGCTTACATACACGCCTCAGCCTACCTGTAGACATCAGAGCGATCAGAGACGATGCTGGTCTGGCAGTACTGCAGGTCCAGATAGCCCGGCGCGTCAGGGTTTACCCATACCAGCATACGCTTACATACACGCCTCAGCCTACCTGTAGACATCAGAGCGATCAGAGACGATGCTGGTCTGGCAGTACTGCAGGTCCAGATAGCCCGGCGCGTCAGGGTTTACCCATACCAGCATACGCTTACATACACGCCTCAGCCTACCTGTAGACATCAGAGCGATCAGAGACGATGCTGGTCTGGCAGTACTGCAGGTCCAGATAGCCCGGCGTGCCCACCACCCGCGTGTGTGGGTGGGAGAGGTTGACTCGTCACACACTAGCACAGGTGAAACACTTTATTCATTGACATGGGACATGGGACACTCTATTCTAGCTCCCTACCTGTACACATGGGAGCGATCAGAGATGATGCTGGTTTGGCAGTACTGCGGATCCAGATAGCCTGGCGTGCCCACCACATGAGGGGCTTAATTTTCACAACACACGTATGTACAAGCATCGCACACACCCTGCATGCATACCTGTAGACGTCAGAGCGATCAGACACGATGCTGGTCTGGCAGTACTGCGGGTCGAGATAGCCCGGTGTGCCGACCAACCACATCAGGGGTTAGCTGTCACAACATACACGTACAGACAAACACCTCACTCACTCCCTGCATGCATGCAGAGGCAGCATACTTGGACATCAGATCAGTCAGACACGATGTTCGCCTGGCAGTACTGCGGATCCAGATAGCCCGGTGTGCCCACCACTCGTGCCGTGTTTGTGTGGGAGACGTGGACTCGTCACACGCCAACACAGGTGAAACACTCTATCAATTGTATCCCTCCCCACCTGTACACATCAGATCGGTCGGAAACAATGCTGGTCTGGCAGTACTGCGGGTCCAGATAGCCCGGTGTGCCCACCACCCGCGTGTGTGTGGGAGAGGTTGACTCGTTGTTGATCTCCTTCACATTGCCAAAGTCACCTAGCTTGGGCTGGAGGGGTGATAGGGTACAAGGGATAAGGGAGCGGAGGAAGCAGGAGTGTGAGAGTGTGAGACGGAAACGGTGGGAAATGGGTGATAGTGGGGTCTGCGACATGGACTCGTCCCTGATCTCCTTCACGTTGCCAAAGTCGCCTAGCTTGGGCTGGGGGAGGGGATGTCAGGGCGAGGGGGAAGCAAGCGCATGGAAGGGAGGATGGAAAGTGTGATGGAGATGGCATGAAAGCGGGGTGATGGTGGTGTGATGGAACGACGAGGTTGGGGGAAGAAGAACAGATAAGGAAGTGCGGGAAGAAAGTGAGACACGCAACAGCGGGAACCACCAATGGGGATAAGGAAGAGAGCGAAGCAGGAAAGGCACAGAAGGGAAGGTAACAGGAGGGGTAAGGAAGTGAGGTAAGAAGGAGGGGTAAGGAAAAGTAGGGAGTGCATGAGCCAATATAAGAGTCACCACATAACTAATACTAATAATAATAATAATAATAATAATAATAATAGTAATAATAATAATAATAATAATAATAATAATAATAATAATAATAAACGAAACTCGCATGCTGTGTTTATCAGAATACATATCGAGTGTCTCGTTCCTCAAAAACCACTCACATGCAGGTCGTTGTCCAGAAACACATTAAGAGTCTTCACGCCGCGGTGAATTATGGCTGGGTGGCACCCATGCATGTACTGCAACGCCTCCGCCACTCCCAGCGCAATCTCCAGGCGCTTGTCAAACACAACACTCACATGAAGGTCGTTGTCAAGGAACACATTCAACGTCTTCACGTCGCGATGGATAATCGCGGGGTGGCATCCGTGCATGTACTGCAGCGCCTCAGCCACCCCCAGTGCAATCTCGAGGCGCTTGTCAAACGACAGCATGCCGCCCGGCTTGCCCTCGATGGCCGCCTCGCCCCTGATGGGGTTGAGGTGCTGCCGCAGGTTGCCGTTGGGCACAAACTCGTAGATGAGGAGGAGCTCCTCCCTCTCCTCGCAGAATCCTAGTAGCCGCACCAGGTTGGCATGGCGCAGCTGGGAGACCGCGTGGATCTGGGGGAGGGGGAGAGAGGGGGGGGGGGAGGGGAGGTGCTGGCGCAGGTTGCGTTGGGCACAAACTCGTAGATGAGAAGCAGCTCCTCTCTCTCCTCGCAAAACCCCAGCAGCCGCACCAGGTTGGCGTGGCGCAGCTGGGACACCGCGTGGATCTGAATGAGGGGGGAGGGGAGGTGGGGGAAAAGGGCGGAGGGGGAGGGGGAAGGGTAGAAGAGGGGGAGTGGAGGCATGGGGATGATGGCAGCTGCTCCTTCCCCTCGCAGAATCCTAGCAGCCGCACCAGGTTGGCGTGGCGCAACTGGGAGACCGCGTGGATCTGAGGAGGGGGGGAGAGGAAGGGGGAGGCAATGAGGAGGGCCCCTGATGGGGTTGAGGTGCTGCCGCAGGTTGCCGTTGGGTACAAACTCGTAGATGAGAAGAATTTCCTCCCTCTCTTCACAGAATCCTAGTAGCCGCACCAGATTGGCGTGGCGCAGCTGGGACACTGCATGGATCTAGGGGGGAGAGAGGGGTGGAGGGGGGGAGCGGGGGAGGGGGAGTGGAAGGAGAGGACAGTGGGAGGAAATGAGGAGTGGAGGCGTGCGGAGGAGTGATGGTGCCCGGCCTGCCTCTCTCCCTGTATGGCCGCCTCCCCCCTGATGGGGTTGAGGTGCTGCCGCAGGTTGCCGTTGGGCACAAACTCGTAGATGAGAAGCAGCTCCTCCCTCTCCTCGCAGTACCCCAGCAGCCGCACCAGATTGGCGTGGCATAGCTGGGACATTGTGTGAATCTGGGGGGAGAGAGGGGGAGGGGGGAACGAAGGGAGTGGCGACATAGAGACGGTGGTCTCCTCTCCCCCTCTCCTCTCAGAATCCCAGCAGCCGCACCAGGTTGGGCGTGGATATGGGGGGGGGGGGGGGGGGGGGGGGGGGGGGGAAGATGGAAGCAGGGAGGGGTGAGTGGGGGTGCGGGATGGGCATATGGGCTGCACCAGGTTCGTGTGCCCCAGCTGCGACATGTATAGAGGGTATTTTTGAGACGTCTCAGAAATGGGCATATGGGCCGCACCAGGATGGCATGCCTCAGTTGCGACACTGCGTGGATCTCTGGTGGAGGGGGGGGGATATGGCATGGAGGAGAGTGCATGAGGAGACAAGGAGTGGAGGGGTGGCGGAAAGGGAAAAGCGCATTGCCGTGTTCCGAGCCGACTCAAACCACACCTCTCTCTCACCTCTTTCTCATAGTCCTTTCGTCGGCTGATCCCACCCTTCTTCCCGCGCTTCACAGCCCACAGCTGTCCGGCCGCCCCACACCCCCGGTACACAACAGCCGACCCGCCCTCTCCCAGCTTTGCTTCCTCCGCCCACCCCTGCGTCGCCCGCTCCACCTCCTCGTACGGAATCGCCTTGGCAGGTTCGAGCTCTTCCAGGTCTGTGCCGTCAGGTACGGATTCTAGACGCTTGGCGAAGGATCGGCGCAGGAGAGCTTGGTGCTTCGCGCCCCTGCCTCCTGCTGCGCCTCCCATACCCGCCCTCCCTGCCGCTGCTCCTGCTCCTCCTCCTGCTCCTCCTCCTGCTCCTGCTCCTGCTCCTCCTGCTCCTCCTCCTGCCCCTGCTCCTGCTGCTCCTCCTGCTCCTCCTGCTCCTGCCCCTCCTGCGCCTCCTGCTGTTCCCGCCCCTTTACCTATCCCTCCTATAATCGGCATCCTTCCCGGAAGCTCCAGCACCACTCCCCCTCCCCCTCCATCTCCCCCTCCCCCTCCTCCGCCTCCCCCAGCCAACCCCCCCGCGCCCCCGCTCCCCCCGACACTCCCCGCACCCCCCACAAACTGCCCGCGCCCCTGCTTCATCTCTAGCCTAGCGCCCCCGTCCACAGCCCAAGCCAACTGCTCCCCCACCCGCCTCTCCGCCTCAAACCTAACCTCTGGGAGAGTCACAGCCATGAGCAGGGACTTATCTGAGGACCTCAGCATCGCGTGCTGAGAGGAAGGGGCACCTATGGAGTGCAGCAGGCGTTTCACAGACACCTCGCTGGGGATACTATCCACAGGAGACGTCCCGTTCCAGGCCACAAACCAGGAAAAATCGCTCATGGAGTCGATTCGAACCGTGGCGCCGAGCGGGAAGGACGAGGAGAAGGAGCAGGCAGCGGCAGCAGCAGAGGAAGTGGAGGAGGAGGAAGGGGAGGAGGAGGGGGAGGGGGAGGAGGTGAGATTGGCCTCGCGGCGGTCGGGGAGGAAGAGGTCTCGCACGTCATCTAGCCCGTCGTCCCACAGAATGAGCTCGTCTCCCACCGCTGGGACTACCCGCGTGTGCTTTCGCACTGTCAGCCGGCCAGATACCCTGGCGCTTACAGGGGCGCTGCTGGTGGTGCTGGTGGTGCTGGTGGTAGTGGTGTTGGTGGTGGTGCTTGCAGTGGTGGGGTTGGTGCCTTTGCTGCCGGTTGCTGCTGCAGCGTCTGTTGAGGTGTTGGGATCAATACCTGCTGCTGCTGCTGCATCACAGGTACCACCGCCCTCAGTTCTACCTCCCTCTGCGCTGCTTCTGCCGACGCTGCCGGCACTGCCACTGCTGCCGCTGCTGCCATTGCTGCTCAAGCTACTCACACTGCTAATCCCCGTGCTGCTGCTGCTGCCCCCGCCGCTGCACTCGCTACCTTCTCCCCTCCTACCCTCCCCTCCCCCGCAAAAATCACACAACCTACCGGCAACACCAGCACCAGCACCACCAGAACCACCACTGCCACCCTCTGCTGTAACTACCTGATGATTCTCCTGAATAACCAGCTGCACGGCCCGACCCAGGAGGGCATACTGGGCTAAGACAGGGGCGAGTGAGATCGCCACATCGTACACCGTCCGTTGGGACGCCTCCCACACTGCTTGCACCTCGTCCGTCAGATCTTCCAGCAGATCCTCCAATGGCGCGGTGGCAATGCGATACGAGTCAACGTCCCAACGGGAGGGAGAAGGGGAGGAGGAGAGAGAGAGGGGGAGGGAGAGGAAGAGGAGGAGGAAGGGTGGCACCCGTTGGCTGTTGCAGGGGGGGGCTTGTTGGCAGGTTCGGCGGTGGCAGTGGCAGGTTCGGCAGCAGCAGCGGCAGCAGGTTCGGGTGTGGTTCGCAGGGCTTGGGAGTCGAGTTCGGCTCGGAGGGCAAAGGTGCGGAAGGCAAAGAGAGGCACCCTGCGAGGGTCGCCCTGTGGGATGGGGTGGTGGGGGTGGGGGTGGTAGGGGGTTAAAGGAGGAGGGTGGGTTTAGGGGAAGGAAAGACCAGCTGAGCAGTCGAGTTCGGTTCGGAGGGCAAAGGCGCGCAAGGCAAAGAGAGGCACCCTGCGAGGGTCACCCTGTGGGGGAGGGGGGTGGGAAGGGAGAGTGTGTGGCGGGGTGGGAGCGTGGAGAAGGGGAGGAAAGACTGACTAAGCAGTCGAGTTGAATTTGGAGAGCAAAGGTGCGCAAGGCAAAGAGAGGCACCCTGCGAGGGTCTCCCTACGAGTGAGGTGTCCAAGGGGAAAGGGAAGCAAATAGATGAGGAAGTAAGAGCGGACCTGAACCTGGGGAGAACGAGGAAAACAAGGGTCCATGAGAACCTGGGCAGGGAGACAAGCGGAGCGGTGTTGACTTTTGAAGTGTCTCAAGAAAGGGGCAAAGCTGCAGAAGGCAAGGGGAACACTCTCCTGTCCCCTGTCCCCTGTCCCCTGCCTCCTGTCCCTTCTCCCTTCTCCCTTCTCCCTCTCCATTCCTTTCAACTCCCCCCCCCTTCTCCTCACCTTGGGGACCTTATCAATCATCATCATGGCAGCTCGGACCCCCATGGCCTGGGCGCTAAGCCGCATACCTCTCAGCTGCGTGCGGGAGGGCAGCTTGCCACTCTCTCCTCTCCCCTCTCTTCCCAGCCCTCTCTTCTGCTCACCTTGGGGACCTTATCAATCATCATCATGGCAGCCCGGACCCCCATAGCCTGGGCGCTGAGTCGCATCTCCCTCAACTCTGCGCAGGACGGTAGCTTGTCACTCCCATCCCAACCCAACCCAACCCAACCCAACCCAACCTCCCATCCTCGTCTCACCTTGGGAACCTTATCAATCATCATCATGACAACTCTAACCCCATGTCCTGGGCGCTCAGTTGCATCTCCTTCAGTTCAGTGCAGGACAGCAGCTTGCCACTCCCATCCCAACCCAAATCAACCCAACCCAACCCAGCCCAACCCAACCTCCCATCCTCGTCTCACCTTGGGGACCTTATCAATCATCATCATGGCAGCTCTAACCCCCATGGCCTGGGCGCTAAGCCGCATTTCCCCCAGCTCTGTGCGGGAGGGTAGTTTTCCATTCCCATCCCAACCCAACCTCCTCTCTGAATCACCCCCCCTTCTCCTCACCTTGGGAGCCTTATCAATCATCATCATGGCAGCTCTGACCCCCATGGCCTGGGCGCTCAGCCGCACACCCCTCAGCTATGTGCAGGACAGCAGCTTGCCACTCCCATCCCAACCCAACCCAACCCAACCCAACCGAATCTCCCATCCTCTGCTCACCTTGGGGACCTTATCAATCATCATCATGGCAGCTCGGACCCCCATGGCCTGGGCGCTGAGGCGCATTTCCCTCAGTTCTGTGCGGGAGGGCAGCTTGCCGCGGGTGAGCGGGCGCAGGCATGACCGGTACCGCAGGTGCAGGATTCGCACCGCCTTCTCTAGACCGTCCAGATCAGCCGGGTCGAGGATCGGACGGCTCACAGCGCCTGACCGTGGGGGTGGGATTCAGGCATGGTTGTGGGAGGGGTAGGGAGGAGGGCCAAGGGAGAAAAGGGGGATTGGAGGGGGGAGAGGAGGGGGGGTGAGGAAGAGGGGGGGTAGTGGGAGGGGAAGGAAATGGAAGGGGAATTGAAAGACATTGGTTGCTAGGCAGCTTGCCGCGGGTGAGCGGGCGCAGGCACGACCGGTACCGCAGGAGCAGGATGTGCACCGCCTTCTCTAGACCGTCCAGATCGGCCGGGTCGAGGATCGGACGGTTGACAGAGGCTGGGGGTTGTGGTGTGGCTTCGGAGGGAGGAGAGGGTGGGGGCAAGGGGAGAATGGAGGGTGACACACCACAAGGCCAGGGAGGTGCAGCATGCGCACTGCCTTGCCTTCTCGAGAAGACCCTCTAGATGACTTTTGAGGGGCCTCAAGAATGGAAGGTGACACAACACAAGGCCAGGCAGGTGCAGAATGGGCACCGCCTTGCCTTCTCTAGAAGGCCCTTTAGACGAAGAGCATCCAGAGATGTGCAACTGAGAGAGCGTGGGGGTGACTTTTGAGTCGACTCAAAAGTGGGCATTGCCTTGCCTTCTCTAGTCTAGACCCTCTAGATGAAGAGCATCCAGAGATGTGCTACTGAGAGAGCGTGCGGGTGGGAGGGTTGCGCAGGGGGGAGGACAGAAGGGAGAGGGTTAAGGGGAGAGAGGGAAAACGGAGGGGAGAGGGCATAGGGGAGAGGGGAGATGGGAAGGGGAGAGGGGAGAGGGAACAGGAGGGTGGGGAGACGAGAGAAGGGAGAGGGAAGTGGGAAGAGGTCAGAGGGGAGAGGGGGGAAATGGAAGGGTATCACTGGTTACCGCAGGTGAAAAATGGGGTTACGCTGGGTGGAAGGGTTGGGGGGAAGAAGCGCAGAGGTTAGATTCAAAGGGTGGACGGCTGACGGACTGATTGCGAGTGAGAGTGGGAGTGGAAATGGGAGTGAGTGTATAAGTGGGAGTGGGAATGAGAGTACGACTGAGTGTGGCTGGGACTGGGAGTGGGGTTACGAGTGGAATCGGGAGTAAGATTGGGAGTGGGAGTGTGAGTGTGAATAGGAATGGGCGTGGAAGTGTGAGTGCCAGTGTAAGTGGGAGTGGGAATTGGAGTAGGAACAGGAGCAGGAGTACGCATCGGGCGGAGCAGGAATGGACGTAAGAAGGGATAAAGTGCGGGGAGTGGGAGAGTAGAGGAGGGAATAGGGAGGAGCGAAAGAGAGTCAAAAGAGAGAAAAACAAACCGTAATACAGAGAGAAGAGGCAAATGTACAAACGACTTAAGGCCACAACCATTCACCACGACACCGTCCCACCGATCACCAAAAAAGCTAATCCCAGCTCTAACCGTAAACCTAAGTTCACAAAGCCTGATCATAAGACTTAAGCGTAACCCTAAACTTGGCATTTGCTATGTCACGCAATCCCGCCTTCGCCCGCGAAGCCTAAGATAACCGAACCTAATCTAACCTAACCTGACCTACCACGTCACATTGCTATCATACCAACCTCCGTCCGTTGTTCCCTTACTGCCAACATTACGAAAATTGAGCGGTAAAAGCGTGTAAACGCACCATGGCGATTGGGGCGCCCTATCGCAACAGCCAGCAGCCAGACTGCCACGCCGCAACCCTACTAAACCTACTCCCGTCCGATAGGACCTACGTCCGTTCCCCTGCTGTTTCTTCGCCTCCCGGAGGTTTCCTGCTGTGCGTCCTGCCAGGCTGTCACGCCGCAACCCTACTAAACCTACCTCCCAAAGGTTGAGTCGACTCACAATGCGTGCGTCTTGCCAGCTGTCACGCTGTAATCCTACTAAACCAACCTCCCTCCGATGTCTCCTCGTCAGAACCTACCTCCGTCCGCTGCTGCCTCCTCGCTTCCCGAATCGTGCAGCTGCGTGAAAAGCGCGTGCAGACAGCTCAGCATGCGTACACGAGGCAAGCCATCTCCGTCCGCCTTCGTATTTCCGCGATTATATGCTGACATGGCAGCTGTAACCGCGCCGAGTGCCAGGTGTGCGATTCCTAGAGGCGCGCCGAGCTGACCGGATCGCGCAACGGTTCCGATTGGTTCGGGCAGATTCTCGGAAACATTTCGTTGGTCGGGCAACCATGTGGGTTCGATGTCGTCATCGCTACCGTCTGAAAAATCGCCAAAGTCCGCCATATTCCGACGCAAAGTAACGAAAAGGGCTACACGCTGTGAATTACAAGTTATTTTTAATCATCTATTCGAAGAATTCGACCACGCTTTGAGGGCACTGCACCAGTAAAACCGCGCCCTATATGATGTCCCGCAGTGACAAGTTGACACACTCGTCACTACGGCTGGCCTGAAGATAAGTGCGTGAATATCAACGGACTACAGAAAATCAGTCAGAATCAGTCAGTTCTCGCGTATATCCCTCTCATTAATCGTGGGGAAAGAACGAGTTCTTCGCAACGCTCTACACGTATTCCGACGTCGTTATGTCAGGTGCGTCAGAGACCTAGGAGGCTGACCACTAACAGGTCGTTTTTCGCAAAAGTGCGGCTATGTGATGTACCCATTCCCTACAGTACGAAAACTTGATTGGTTATGCTAGATAACAAGTTAGCATCACAAGAGAAACGACTGAGGAACCTGTGGCCCCGTGAACGACTATTTTCTAGCGAACAAGAAGCGAAGCAGCAGTCAGCTGTTTGCTTGTTGGTTGTGGTTGGGTTGAGTCTCGGGAAGATGGAGCTCTGAGAGGGGTGGTTTACTCTGTTATATTTCTGGTCTGTATTCCTTGGTCTATTTCTGGTCTCTGTAAAAACGGGGAATGACGGGGAATGTTCTGAAGTCACTGCGAAATGCCTTCTCATTTTTACTAAAGAAAGGGCTTTCGGCTGGCAAGAAGTCGGCGTACCAGGTTTTAAACTACAATCAGCGCATGACCCTCCATCCGGAACAAAGTATCAGGGCGGATGAACCAGACAATGGGTCAACCAGACAATGTGATGTGCTGTACACGAAATGTAGGAATCGCCTGGTTGAAGAAACAAACAATGGGTCACCAGACACAAGCATGCATTCCTTTTCCCATTGGTGCATTGGAGCCCATAGCGCGAAATGAACCAACTCCAAGAGTTGGTGAGGGCAGGAACGAAATGAACGGTGGACCGCCCGGGGCAAGAGATAGCGCAGCGGGAAAATCACATTTCAGCCAGTGACGTGAGGGGACCAAAAACAGCTCCGTTCGTGGCTCGTGCGGCACAAAAAGCCAAACACCAGGGGACCTTGAAAAGTACGGTGAACCGGTATTATAAGATTCACAACGACCACCAAGACATGAACCCCTCTGAGGTCACCAAAGTAAGGTCAGCAAATCTATCATAGTTACCTAAATGTGGGCATCTCCTTCTAATATTCGCCTTCATGAATGTTTTGATGTTTTGTCCAAGTTCTAGTGCAAATGGCAGTTCCAACTCCAGCAAAAAAAATACACTCTTTCAGTATGAAACGGTTTGTTACATTCTTCATTCGGAGGGCAACAATAGCAATACTTACCCTGTAATTTTACGGTACTTGCCATTTGTTGAAATTTTTGGGAACGCACATCTAGAGAGGTATTGCTCATTATTGCAGATTGTACGCCCACCCATGTTCATCTAGAAAGTGTTGCACTGTTTCTCTGAGTGCAAGGTTCGGCACCAGCTGCTCTGGCGTCAAGGGGGCCCTCGTCACTGGGTCAAAGTGCTTGCCCTGCATCCGAAAGGAACAACAAATACTTGATGTAAAAGCATACAGACATGTTTTCAAAGCATGGAAAAAACAAGTGTATCTGGATACAGTTAGAAGGGGGTGCGATCGAGCAGCAGTGCGAGGAGAGGAGTAATGTACAAGACAAGGGGGAGAGAAGAAACCGAGCAGCCTATGCATTGACAGACTTCAAATGGTTGACCAGGACTGCTCGTTCGTACGTCAAACCACTGAGAGGAGTTTCAAGGCGCCTCAAAACCACGGAGAGAAGAAGCGGAGCAGCCTATGTACTTACAGACTACAAGTGGTCGAGTCGAGCAGCACTGCTAGGAGAATTTTCTAGACGGCTCGAGGGAGGGTGGAGGGGAGAAGAACGGAGCAGCATTTGTACTCACAGACTCCAAATGGTCGACCAGCACTGCTCGTTCGTATGCCACGCCCAAGGAATAGTTTGTAGATGCCGCAAGAAGGGGTGGAGGGGAGAAGAAATGGAGCAGCCTATTTACTCACAGATTTCAAATGGTCGACCAGCACTGCTCGTTCGTACGTCACGCCACTGGGAGTGATGACGGGGTCCTTGAAAATGTCCATGGTGATCTTGCAGCAAAGAAAGTCAGGCACCTGTGGGGGGAAGAGCAGTGAGGTGATGGTGGTGAAAGGCAGATGAAATCAACAGGGGCTACCAACAACTGGTATCCACTGGGAGTGATGGCGGAGTTCTTGTATATGTCCATTGTGATCTTGCAGCACAGGAAGTCAGGCACCTGTGGGGCGCAGGGGAGGGAAGAGAGGAAGAGAGCATCAGGTATCACCAACTGGTATCCACTGAGAGTGATGACCGGGTCCTTGAAAATGCCCATTGTGATCTTGCAACAGAGGAATTCAGGCACCTGTGGGGCGCAGGGGAGGGAGGGAGAGACGATGAGAGCGAAAGAGGCAGCACGGTGAGTGATGATGACCACGGGGTCCTTGAAAATGTCCATTGTGATCTTGCAGCACAGGAAGTCAGGCACCTGAGGGGCGCAGGGGAGGGAGGGAGAGAGATAGCACGACGAGTGCATAGTGGAAGGCACATCGGATCAACGGGGGCTACCAGCAGCTGGAATTCAAAGAGGGTTGATGATCGGGTGCTTGGAAATGCCCCCTGTGACCTTGCAGCACAGGAAGTCAGGCACCTGTGTGGCACAGGGGAAAAGAGAGAGGGAGAGATGATGAGAGCAAAGGAGGCAGCACAGTGAGGGTCGATGATCGGGTGCTTGAAAACGCCCACTGTGACCTTGCAGCACAGGAAGTCAGGCACCTGTCAGGCAGGCACATGTGAGGAAGATGAGAGAGCTGCATGCCTGCAGACATTCCTTCACATCACCCCACCTTCTGAGCCTCCTCAACAACTCAACAAACTGTTAGAATCTATCTTCTCTTGTAACCTGCATAGATGTTATAGGATAGGCTAGAGATAAGCACCCAAACTTAGTTTGGGTGTTCAAGCAGGGGTTACCCAATTTGTAGGTTGGAAACCCAACCTTGGTCCAATTATTGGACCCCAAAGGTTGGGTTGGGTAGAATTATTGGTTCACACCAATAATGTTGGCCCAACCCCAACTTGGCCAACATTATTGGACCCCACCAATAATCCCCCAACCCAACTTCATGGGTGGGGTCCAATAATGGTCACCTAGGCTAGGATCCAACCCATTCCCTATGTAAACCCCCATTCTCCTCAATCCAACAATAACTTCTCTTCTAACTCTTATTCTCACATGGTATAGAGCTCTTAAAAATCCTAGGCCTACGCTCCTAGTTTTTTTTCAAAGGCCGCCGCAACCCCCGGCCTCCTTTCTCATTTTTCCGCGGCTATCTCGCCACCCTCCCCCTCTCCTCAAGCACTCCCTCCCTCTCAGCCCCGCGGCCTCCCACGCCGTCACGGCCTGCGCCGCTCCCTTCCCCGGCCCCACCGCCGCTTCCGCGCTCGCGGTCCCGCCGACCGCCACCGCCCGCCCCATTCCGCGGCCTCGACGCCTCCTCCACGCCAACGCCACTGCGGCTCCACCAGCCGCCGCCGCTCGCGCCGCTCCCTCCCGCGACCCCGTCGCCGCTTCCGCGCCTGCACTGCCGCGGCTTCGCCAGCCGCCGCCGCTCGCGCCGCTCCCTCCCGCGACCCCGTCGCCGCTTCCGCGCCTGCACTGCCGCGGCTTCGCCAGCCGCCGCCGCTCGCGCCGCTCCCTCCCGCGACCCCGTCGCCGCTTCCGCGCCTGCACTGCCGTGGCCTCGCCAGCCGCCGCCGCTCGCGCCGCTCCCTCCCGCGACCCCGTCGCCGCTTCCGCGCCTGCACTGCCGCGGCTTCGCCAGCCGCCGCCGCTCGCGCCGCTCCCTCCCGCGACCCAGTCGCCGCTTCCGCGCCTGCACTGCCGCGGCTTCGCCAGCCGCCGCCGCTCGCGCCGCTCCCTCCCGCGACCCCGTCGCCGCTTCCGCGCCTGTACTGCCGCGGCCTCGCCAGCCGCCGCCGTCCGCGCCGCTCCCTCCCGCGGCCTCGTTGCCGCCTTCGCGCCTCTCCGCGGCCTGGACGCCGCCGCGGCCCCGCCAGCCGCCGCCGCCTACACTGCTCCTCTCGCGGCCTCCTCGCCGCCCCCGCGCCTACGCTGCCGCGGCCTCGCCAGCGCCGCAGTTCGCGCCGCTCCCTCCCGCGGCCTCGTCGCCGCCTCCGCGCCTGCACTGCCGCGGCTTCGCCAGCCGCCGCCGCTCGCGCCGCTCCCTCCCGCGACCCCGTCGCCGCTTCCGCGCCTGCACTGCCGCGGCTTCGCCAGCCGCCGCCGCTCGCGCCGCTCCCTCCCGCGGCCTTGTCGCCGCCTCCGCGCCTGCACTGCCGCGGCTTCGCCAGCCGCCGCCGCTCGCGCCGCTCCCTCCCGCGGCCTTGTCGCCGCCCCCGCGCTTGTACCGCCGCGGCTACGCCAGCTGCCGCCGCCGCCTGCGCCTCTCCGCGGCCCCAACGCCGCCTCCACGCCAGCGCCGCCGCGGCCTCGTCAGCCGCCGCCGCCAGCACCGCTCCCCTCACGGCCTCGTCGCCGCCTCCGCGCCAACGCCACCGCGGCCCCACTAGCCGCCGCCGTCCGCGCCGCTCCCCTCTGCGGCCTCGTCGCCGCCTCACCTCCCACTCCTCCGTGACCACTGCGGGTCTCCCCGCGGCCGTCCTCCATGGCTACCGCCGCACCTTCCCCCGCCCCCCTCCCTCCTCCTATTGATACGTCCTCCGTCGATAAGCTGCAGCTTGCCGCAGACAAATCCGCCGTCAATTGGCACTCCTTCGTCGGCAGCATCCGACGAGTTCTCTCCGACGCATGGGTTCCCCCCTACCGTGTCCTTGATGTCCTCCTCCGCCGTCCCCAGGCACTCCCCCCCACCGAACCTGAACACCCAGGCGAGACTCCTCCTCTCCCTCCCTCTCCCGGCGATCCTCCTCTTGAACCCGACCTCCAAAGCACAGGCGACCAAGCCGCCGCTGATGCAGACTTCATCTTACGCCGCCGTGCGTACCTTATCAAGAAAGCAGAGTACGATGCAGCAGTCGAAGCCTATGACCAGGCGGTTGCTGGCCGCAACGCTCACCTCGCCGTCGTCGCCAAATACAAAGACGACATGGCCACCCATATCCCGAAACTTATCGCCTGGACAACTGCTGACACTCGTGCCTGCACCGTTCTCCTTGGGGCTCTCCCTGACTCCCTCATGCGTCGCTTCCAGGCTCGAGAGCTTCGGGCCTCGGTCATCTGGGCAGAACTCCATGCGATGTTCGAACGCCGCGACATCAGCTCGGTCGGTATCCTGTTCCAAGAATACTTCTCAATCACCCTTGCTACCTGTGACGGAGCGGTCGACTACATCGGACGCATGCGGGAGGTAGCTGACCGTCTCGAAGCCCGCCAAGCCGGCCTCTCCGAACCTCTCCAAATCCATCGCCTCCTGTTTAACCTCACTCCCGACTATGAATCCCGCCTTCACGCCTTTACCGAGGCCAATCCCCTAGCCGATCTCGCCTCCGTTGAACAGTGGATCATAGACACCGAAGTCAAACTTCGCACCCCCGTCGTCAACCTCGCCTCCTCCCAACCCTCCTCCTCCTCCCTCAACGCTACTCAGCCCCGCAAGCAGGGCAAGAACAACGGCAAGGGGGGTGGTGGAGGCAAGGGAGGTAGCGGTCAAGGCAGCAGCAACGCGAACAGACGCAGCGGCACCACTGGAGATGAGCATGGCACCCCCAATACAGGCGGAGCATCTGCAACCAGTGGGACCCGCCCTGGTACTCTTCCGCCCTGCACCTATGTCCGCCGCTATGGTCCCCGGGCTGGCACCCCCTGCGGACAGACCAACCACCCTCCTGCCACCTGCTTCAAGGCCCTCGATGATGCATGGTACGCACGAGGCAACGTTGGCAATCCTCCTAAGTGGGCAACACTTTCCCCACGTCCCTCCCCCACTGACATCCAAACCAACCCCGCTTACCTCCCTGCCCACCTCCGCCTCCTTGCTCCCCCCGCGCCCTTCCTCAACCTCCAGCAGCAGCACCTCCTGCAGCAGCAGCAGCAGCAGCAGCAGCAGCAGTTACAGCAGCTGTTTTACCCACAGCCGCAGCAGCAGCACCCATGGGGATCAGGGCCCCAGCCCCAGTGGGGACCCAGCCCTCCTCCCTGGCAGCAGCAGCAGCTAAACTTTGGCACAGCAACCATGGCCGCCCAGGCCTCCTCGGCTCCCCTTTGGGGTGCTCCACCCCCCCCCCAGTGGCACTGCCACCCCTCTCACTCAGGAAAGCTTTCTTGGCAACATTTCTGTCTCACCCTCTCTTCCTTCCATGTACCCATCCAACATTAATGAAACCACTTTCCAGTACTCCGTGTCTTCCTCCTCCTCGCCCACTCTGGACTTTGTCCTAGACAGTGGGGCCACTGAAACTGCTCTCAAAGATGCTGGTACACTCACACCCCTCTCCCCTCCCACTCACGTTCACGGCGCTGACAGCAGCTTCACCATCCCATGCACACACCTCTCCACTCTCCCCTGCTCACTCTTCCCCTCTGGTAAGGTAACTGGTCTCCACATCCCCACTCTCCGAAACAACCTCCTCTCCCACCGTGAAATCCAAGGTGCAGGTATCACTGCGGTCTATCCTGGTAATGCCACCTACTGTGACCTTTACCACACTGCCTCCGGCCGCTTCCTCCTCCGCATACCCCTCTGCCCCCGCACTCGCCTCTACACTCTCCGCACTCCGTGGCCATCCTCCTGTCATGTCACCACTCGTGCGGGTACCTCCACTAGCCCTCCCCATCTCCCTCCCTCCCCTCCCACTCCACCATCCCCCCACTCCTTCATCCCGCCCTCACTCGTTCCAGCCCCCTCCACCTCCGACCATCTCTCCCACCCCGCTGTTCTCCTACATCACCGACTCGGTCATCCCAATTTCGCCGCTCTCCGCACTGCCGTCACCTCACGACTCCTTCACAGCCTCCCTCCCACCCTTCCTCCCCTTCCCTCCTCCCCGGCCCCCCCATGCCCCTCCTGCATCCACGGCAAACTCAAACAATCCCCTCATCACAGCCACCCCTCCTTTGCTCCTGCACCAATTGACCTCATCCATATGGACCTCTGGGGGCCCTCTCCCACCCGCTCACGCCAAGGCCATCGCTACATGCTGGTTCTTGTTGACGATCATAGCCGCTACTCCACCGTTTTCCTCCTCCACACAAAAGATCAGGCGCCGACCATGATCATTCACTGGGCAGAACAATGCCGCACCCACTTCAAACGTCCCATCGGCCGCCTCCACTCTGATGGGGGAGGCGAATTCCTCAATCGCACTCTCTCTCACTACTGCACCACTCATGGCATCCAACAGACCCACACTCTTCCCCACTCCCCACAGCAGAACGGCAGTGAGAAAGCCGCATCCGCGAAATCACTAAGATCGCCCGCTGTCTCCTCGCTCACGCCTCCACACCCCCTTCTCTCTGGGGCTATGCCCTCCTTCATGCTTCCCTCCTCCTCAACCTTCACTCCCATCTTCAACACACTGCCACTACCCCCACGGAGCTCTGGTCAGGGTCCAAACCTGACGCTGCTGGACTCCGTGTCTGGGGTTGCAAGGCATATGTGCTCATCCCTCCATCTGAACGGACCCACGGCAAGCTCGCTCCTCGTGCCCTCGAGTGTGTCTACCTTGGCCACAACCGCGACTCGCCTGGTTACCTTTTCCTCCACCCTCCCTCTGGTCGCCTCATCCGCAGCATCGACGTTGTGTTCGATGAGACCACCCCATACTACTCCTCTCCACCACCAGACCCCCTCCCTCCTCCTACACGTCCTCTCGCTTGGACCGACACTGTCCTCCCTCCCCTTCTCCCTCCAGCACCCCTTCTCCCACCCCTCCCCACCCCGCTTCCGCCACCTTCATCTGCCGATATCTACGATCCCACTGCTCCAACATCCCCTGCACACTCCGCAGCTCCCCCTCCCTCCTCTCCTTCCCACTCTCCTTCTCATCCATCCCAGCAGCAGCAGCAGCAGCCGCAGGGGCAGCAGCAGCAGCAGCAGCAGCAGCAGCAGCCGCAGGGGCAGCAGCAGCAGCCGCAACAGCAGCAGCAGCAGCAGCAGCCACAGGGGCAGCAGCAGCAGGAGCAGCAGCAGCAGCCGCAGGGGCAGCAGCAGCAGCCGCAGCAGCCGCAGCAGCAGCAGCAGCCGCAGGGGCAGCAGCAGCGGGGGCAGCAACAACAGCAGCGGCACCAGCAGCAGCCGGGGCAGCAGCAGCAGCCGCAGCAGCAGCAGCAGCAGCCGCAGGGGCAGCAGAACCAGGAGGGGCAGCAGCCGCAGCAGCAGCAGGGGTTCCAGCAGCACCAGCAGCAACAGCGGCGGAGGGCAACTGCCCGCTCCTCACCTTTCCTCCTCCCTCGCATGCACACCCGCTCTCTTGATCCCATCCTTGGCACTCCGCCACCTTCCTCCCTCAGCCAGCTCGAGGACTCCCATGAGGAGTTCGCCATGGTCCAGCGCCACACTCCCTCTCTTTCCACCCTCTACCCTGACCTCCTCGGCGCTCTACTCCTTAGCGCGATCTCCGCTCCCACCATCTTCGTCCCCACCACCTTCCAGGAAGCTATCACCTGCCCTGACGCTGACAAGTGGATAGCCGCTATCTTCCTGGAATGTGAGGCGTTCATCCGCAACGACTCCTTTATCGACGTTCCCCTTCCCCCTGACGCCAACCTTGTCGAGGGCAAGTGGATCTTTCGAGTCAAACAGCTGCCGGGAGAGGAACCAGTCTACAAAGCCCGCTATGTTGCTAAGGGGTTCACCCAGACCTGGGCTGAGGACTACTGGTTCACATTTGCCCCCACCCTCAGGCAAGCCACCCTACGCACCCTTATGGATATCGGTGCGCGGGACGACATGGAGATTGACTCCATGGACGTCTCCAACGCTTTCCTGCAAGGTGAACTGCACGAACGCATCTTTCTCCGCCGACCTCCCGGGTTCCATGCTACGTTCCCCGACAACACCGTCTGGCAGCTGAAGCGACCGGTCTACGGCCTGAAGCAGGCACCACGAGAATGGCATGCGAAGCTGTCTGCTACTCTCCAGTCCCTTGGCTTCTCCCCCTCCCACTCCGACGCCAGCCTCTTCATCCGCTCTTCCCCCAGTCGCTTCTTCATCTCGGTCTACGTCGATGACATGATCCTGCTCGCTGACACCAGGACTGACATGGATCAAGTGAAACGGTCTCTTCAGGAACGTCTCAAGTGCAAGGACCTTGGTCCGCTGCAGAACTACCTCGGCATGGCTATCACTCGTGATCGATCCGCCCGCACCATCACCCTCTCCCAGTCCCACTACATCGGCCAGGTCCTGGAAAAGTTCGAGATGGCACAGGCCAAACCAGTCTCCACACCCCTCCCCTTCGGTCACCAGCTTGCGCCACCCACCTCCCCCTCCACCTCCTCCCGGCCCTACGCCGAGCTTGTTGGGTCGCTGATGTACGCGATGATGTGCACTCGTCCCGACCTCGCCTACCCTGTCAGCGTCCTTGCTCGATTCTTTCGCCCCGGCCGCCACACTGAGGAACACTGGACTGCCGCCAAGCGAGTCCTCCGCTATCTTCGTGGCACCAGGGACCACGCTCTCACACTGGGTGGATCTTCCCCCCCCCTTCTCTCTGGCTTCAGCGACTCCTCCTGGGCAGACTGCCAGCCAGACCGCCGCTCCTCCCAAGGCTATGGCTTCACCCTCGGCAGCGGCCTCATCAGCTGGCGCTCTACTCGCTCCTCCGCCATCGCCCTCTCCTCCTGTGAAGCTGAGCTCTATGCTGGCACCATGGCCGCGCAAGAGTCCCGCTGGCTCTGCTTCCTCCTAGCTGAGCTTGGTGTTCCCCAGCGCTGCCCCACCCTCTGGTGTGACAATGCCAGCACCATCCATCTCACCCAAGACCCCGTTTTTCACGGTCGCTCCAAGCACATTGAGCTCCGCTATTTCTTCATCCGTGAACTCGTCCAACAGAATCTCATCGCCGTTCGCAAGATCGCCGCTGAAGCCAACCTGGCAGATATCTTCACCAAAGCACTTCTTCGCCCTGCGCACTCTGCTCTTCTCCGCCTCATCGGCCTCGCTCCCCCAGGCGCGCCTTGATTCAGGGGTTGCTTCACTCAAGCCTTTCCACATCTCTGCAGGTTAAGGGGTTGTGTTAGAATCTATCTTCTCTTGTAACCTGCATAGATGTTATAGGATAGGCTAGAGATAAGCACCCAAACTTAGTTTGGGTGTTCAAGCAGGGGTTACCCAATTTGTAGGTTGGAAACCCAACCTTGGTCCAATTATTGGACCCCAAAGGTTGGGTTGGGTAGAATTATTGGTTCACACCAATAATGTTGGCCCAACCCCAACTTGGCCAACATTATTGGACCCCACCAATAATCCCCCAACCCAACTTCATGGGTGGGGTCCAATAATGGTCACCTAGGCTAGGATCCAACCCATTCCCTATGTAAACCCCCATTCTCCTCAATCCAACAATAACTTCTCTTCTAACTCTTATTGTCACACAAACACATTTTCTTCCAGAGTCCCAAACACTCACCTCAGTAGGTCTGTCTGGCGCCCCAGCCTTGTCAAACACGTTCTCCAGTGTGTTGAGGCGCTCCTGGTACTGCTCTGGTTTAGCAGACACTTAGGAACCCTCTAGCACTCACCTCAGTGGGTCTGTCTGGCGCCCCTGCCTTGTCGAACACGTTTTCCAGTGTGTTGAGTCGCTCCTGGTACTGCTGCACTAGCGTTCTCACTTGCTCCGACTTGTGAGGGTCTAAACCTGTGGGAAGGGTGGGGGTGGAGGCACGAAATGGGGAGTTGAAACAGCGACCGTATTGCCAAGGCTGGCGAAGTCAACATGAGCCGATCCATTCAGCGCACCCTCTTTGCTCTTACCACCTCGTCTCCTCTCTCCTCTCACCATATCCACTCCCTTCTCTCCCCTTTCTGAACACCTCCCTCCCCCTTCTCTCCTCACCGTCTGTATTGCCAAGGCTGGTGAAGTCAATATGAGTCGATCCATTCAGCGCGCCCTCTTTGCCTGGCAGCAAGGGACGATACAGGGAGGCAATCCACATGCTATCAGATCAAAACTGTCCTTTCCGTCACCTAAAAAAAGACGTTACGTACAAGAGAGTGTCAACAGTCATGTGGCCATTCAAAGGACCTTTCAGCAGGCGTTTCTAAGTCCGCTGGAGAGAGCCAACAAGCGATTGAGATCAACAAGCGGTTCCCAGTACAAGAGCAATGTATCATCCAGAGTCTTCACACTATCTTCAATTCAGGTCAGGAATGTGATCGAATGAAACTACTAGGGCGTGGGCAACACGAGAACACACATACCAAGAAGCTGCGATACTTGTTGGCACAGGCGGTTCTTCATTAGCAGCTTCAGCTCCTCCCTGCAACCACACCCAAACTCATGTCAACCCATGGTGATTATCGGTATCAGCAAAAGGCGCAAGCAACGGCAGACACAGAACATGACGAGAATCATCTGTCAGGGGAAAACAGCTAGCCACCAAAGGCCAACCTAATTGAAGATGACAGATGGCAGATGAAAGCTCAACCAGGCAACCAGGCAACCACCAATGGGCGAGCCCGTTCAACAACTCAAGCACAAAATCGGGACCGATTCACGCATGCATGAGCGCTTGCTGCATTCCTTTCCGCCTCTGACAAACTATTAACACCCATGTGATTCGAATTAACACATGAGGTGACTTTTGAGTCGACTCAATAGTCACCTCGCATGCATGAGTGCTAACTGCGTCCCTTTCCACCTCTGACAAACGATTAACATCCATGTGAGTCGAAGAAGCCAGAACTAAACCCTGAACAGCAAACCCTGCACATTCATAGCAACACCCGTTTCCTTCCACCCTCCCAAACTTCAACCATAGAAGCCATATCCACTTTCCGTCATATTGCCTTCACCGTCATACTGTACCACTTTCGAGGTGCCTCAGAATTCATACGACTATCTTCACTTTTAAGCCGTACCGCCTGGGCGCTCTTGATTGTTCAAGAATAAGAAAACAACTTAAGAATAAAGCAGTTCCGCAAGCACCTTCATCAAAGCTCAAGCCAAGCCACATCACTCCAAAAGCTCACCCCAGCGCCTGCTCCTTTCCCCTCTTCGTCTTGGCCTCCTCCTCCGACTGCCGGTACTTTGCAGCAGCCAGCAGTCGCCAGATGCCAAGCCAATTAGTGCTGAACTGTAGACTCAACCGCTTTCACAGGCACCTCTCTCACAGCGCATTACTCAACAACACTCACCCCAGCGCCTGCTGCTTCTCTCTCCTCGCCTTGGCCTCCTCCTCCCACCGCCGGTACTTGGCAGCAGCTAGCACTCTCCAGATGTCGCCCAGATTGTCACTGCGTACCAGCCGCGTGTCATTCCTCAGTGCTTCTAGCGCCTGGCAGGGGAAAGGTAAGAGGGGGGAGGAGGGGACGAGGGATAAGGATCAGGATGTTACTCGTGGTACTTGACAGCAGCCAGCACTCTCCAGATGTCGCCCAGATTGCCACTGCGCACTAGCCAAGTGTCGTTCCTCAGTGCTTCTAGGGCCTGCGACGGGAAAGAGAAGTGGGGTGAGGGGGAGAGGGAAGAAGAAAGATAAGATAGAGCCCACCCATCACCCACCCCTCTTCCCATTCACGTCCCCAAACACACCCTTCCTTTCTCCCTCCTGTCCCTTCCGCCCCCCACACACCTTCTCCAGCTCTCTGATCGCCTCTGGGAATCGGCTCAGCTCCACCAGAGCAAGGGAGGCCGAGGCGCCCAGCCACACCCCTTTCCAGATACACCCCCACGCACCCCCACTCTCCGTCTCCCCTATGTCCCTTCCCCACTCCCCCTTTATGCCCTCCCCCCACGCACGCACCTTCTCCAGCTCTCTGATCGCTTCTGGGAAGCGGCTCAGCTCCACCAGGGCCAGGCCAAGAAGGAAGCGCGCCTGCAAAGTGAAAAAAGGCACCAGAGATTTCTTTCGATCGCTTCTTAAATTGATACAAAAACAAGACATTTGAGAGCGACAGGGAAACAAGAGAGGAAATTAGAGGGACAAAATATTGCGTTGTCACTGCTATGTTCTACTCTTCGATTACTCGAATCGTATAGAAACCATTATTCAGGAAAAGATTGCATTAGTACCTTGACGGAATTTCTATCCAGCTCCAAAGCCTTTGTGCAGTCATGCTCTACTCTCGGCCAATCACTGCACAGACACAAAGAGGCAGAATGCATGCAGAAAAATAGACTAATGTAAGATATTCGAGGAATATAAACCAGCAAAATTATACAACATGAACCGTGGACGCCACAGCCAACATGATAAGCCAACATGCCATGCCAGCACGACAAGCTAACAGTCGCAACCAATCGCTGTGAAAATCGCAACATCACAGAATTTGACTCTCCTGGCACTCTGCAGGTCCTTAGCCTACTTCGTTTTCCTATAAACATATTTAGCTGACTCCATGCCCCACCAAGCTCGGCTTCCCTATAATCTCAGACTGAATACAAAAAGGCAGATAGAAGAAAGAAAATACATGTCTCACCATTTCCTTCTGTGGCACAGAGCTCGATTGGTCCAGTAGACTGGCACGCCTGGGGCAAAGGTGATGGCCTGGCATGGAGGAAGGTGAGAGTTGGGTAAGAAGGGTAAGAATGGATATGGGGACGGGGATCAGGCGCACAGAGTTGGGTTGGTCCAGTACATTGGCACGCCTGGGGCAAAGGTGATGGCTTGCGATGGAGGAAGATTGGAGGTGGAGAGAATGGCAAGGGGCGGAGGAGGCGACACATCAAAAGAAGCTGGAGTAGGGTGCGCGTAAGGAGAAGGGAAGGTAGTGGCACTGATCTCGGCTGGTCCAGTACAGTGGCATGCCTGGTTGAGAAGGGAATGGACTGCCATGTGAACAGCCATGGGAAGAGACAGGACGGTGCACAGCGAACTATCAGCAGCACAGCACGGTGATTCTAGAATTCAAGGAGAAGACAGGGAACAATAAGCAGCACCACCATCTCTGCCTGTTCCTCTACACACTTCCCCCATCCTTTCCGTCCCTCTCTCCGTCATCTCCGCCATCCCACGTGACCTCCTCTTGACATCATCAGATGCCATTTCTCCCAGCCATGGGTGGGTCTATGCCCTTCTCTCATGTTGAGACACCTTTTGAGCCGACTCCCAAGCCACCTCTTTGACCGATTCTCTTCCGATTCTCTTCAAACATTGGACAACCTTGTCTGCGCCGCTCTCTAAAATCTGAACTCGACGAGGCACCCACCTCCTGTACGCGTCTAGAGCTGCTCCGATTTTGGAATCCCTCAAAACTCGGGAGAAGCACGCACCTCCGTGTACGCGTCTATAGCTGCTCCGAGAAACCCTTTGTTGAAGTACTCGTTTCCCTTCTGCTTCAGCCGCTCCGCCTGAAGCTCCTGCGCCGTCTTCGGCGGCATTGCGGCGATTTCTTGTAACGCGCAACCACCAGGAGACGCGAAGCCGCTGCGAACCTTCCCCCCTGGACAACCCCTGGTCGGTATCCCCACGGTAAACCTCTACACGACTATCAGGATTCGAATCCAACGGCTATTACGCTTCGATTTCAACGGCTATTACGCTTCGATTTCAACGGCTATTACGCTTCGATTCCAACGGCTATAACGCTTCGATTCCAATGGCTACCAGGCTCTATCTAGAAGTTCCCAGTCCAGCGAATCTCTGCCGAAGCGAGCTGAGCAGCGAATCTCAGTAGCGAACTGAATCTCAGCAAGTCAGCCACTGAGGAAGCGACGGCGGTTCCGTAATCCACGGTCGAGCGAAGCTTGAGCCTAGGTTGGGCGTAAATTGGTCCGAGACTAGGCTTATATCATGCCTGGATAGGCAACAATGCTGCTACACTGATTCCAAGCTTATGCGGTCAAACTGATACCAAGCTAGACTGAACGAGCTGTTGAATCGATAACTACGAAGACGCGACGCAAAAGAAAGGTAGGTCGAACGGAAGCTGACAGCCGATTACAGATAGTAAGGAAGATAGCAACGGTAATGTGCTTGAAACGAAGGTGAGACTAATTCGGCTACTATTAGCCCGAGGCAAGCTCTAGGAGCTTCGCACCGGATGCTTCTACCACCAGGCGCCACGTAGTCACGTCAAACTCCTCCGCTGCATCTCACGCGAGTCGCAACGATGATGCATGGTAACTCTGCAATGATGCTGTATTACACAAATCACGTCACAACAGCCGCCTATGGGTTCTGGATATGGGGAATAGGCTCTTTCTGTAGCAGATGGAATGGATGGAAGCACCTGGAAGCTCCTCCCTGTCACTCGCGGACACCTTTTGACCTCGGAAAACCTTTTTACCGCATTGGAATTTTTCAAATCTTAACAAATTGTCGTGAACCGAGATGGATCTTTCGTGAAACACCTGCCCAAAAACATTGCATGTGTCAGAGCAGAGCGGAACCGCGGTTGCAAACAGGAGCCAGTTGCAAGCACAAGCCAGTACTCGCCTGTCAGAACCTCGATTCTCGCGAAATGCACTGACTGGTATGACGAAAGTAGTTATGAAAAAAGAGTTACACATAATTGAAAAAAAAGGCACCAATGATCCAATGAAAGCACCAAATACCAATACATACCAGCCTTTTTTACAAATCACTTTTGACGATAGGATATCTATATCAAAAAAGGCACAACTGCCTTTCGTCGTTTGGGATAATCGTCAAATTTCTGCAAGTACCACCTATGGTGGGAAACTGCACGCGGCACGAGATTGGCACATGCAAACACAAAGAAGGCCAGAGCAGCAAAAGACCACGTCAATATGGCCCACCCCAGCCACTCCGCCAGCTCTCCCGAGTAATTTGGGCAAGAAACCAGGTGAAAAAGCGGCCCTCTAGGAATTTTGTACCCTTTGTCTTGAGGGCTTTTTCTTAGGGCAAGAAGAGCGGAGTCGGCAGCAATGTTGGTGATGAAACCAAGGAGGAACAGCGAGGAGCCGATGCGAAACTGCATTGAAGAGAGCCATGACAGAGGATACTTCCCAGCGCCTCCCACTCTGCACAAGAATCGCGGGGTTATGAAAGGGCATTTGCAATGTTGGGGATCAACCAAGGAGGATAAGTACAGAGCCAATGCGAGGCTGTGTTGAAGGGAGCCACGACAGAGGGTACTTCCCAGCGCCTTCCACTTTGCACAACGGAGGAGGGGTTATGAGTGGACGTTTGCAATGATGAGAAGAAGTATAGGAGAAACTATTGTCGTAAGAAGCAAGGGGGAAGAAAGGAAGGACTGTAAAACAATCAACAAGTTAAGCGGAACAGGTACACTCCCTTTACCGCATGATATATATCAGTAGGCTGTCTGGAACACAATCAGCAGATCTACTAGCTGTTGAAGAATGCAGTGATGCTTACTCAGGTCCATCCAGTAACCCCACTGGTGACTCCACACAGATTTATTGCGCACAGATTTTTTGCAGGCTCGTTATTAATCTCGACTGATCTTTTCGTTACAGTGTAACAGCAGCACGATCCTTCACTCAGTGCCAGCCCTGCATGAATCCGTGGAGCAGGTTGTAGCAGAACGCCAGAAAGCATGCAAGCAAGCAAGCAAGCTAGCAAGCGAGCATAGCAAGCCAGCCAGCAAGCAGCATCAATCCTCATTCGCACTCACTGCCAGCCCTAAATAAATCCGAAGACCAGGCTGTAGCAGAACGCAAGCAAGCAAACCAACAAGCCAAGCAAGCAAGGAATCAAGCAGCATTAATCATCTCCACTCACTGTCATCTCTGCACGAATGAATGCACTGAGAAAGTTGTAGCAGGACGGCAGCAAGCACGCAAGCAAGCGAGCAATCAATTAGGCAAACAAGCATCCCTCATTCGCACTCACTGCCATCCCTCATTCCCACTCACTGCCATCCCTCATTCCCACTCACTGCCATCCCTCATTCCCACTCACTGCCATCCCTCATTCCCACTCACTGCCATCCCTCATTCCCACTCACTGCCATCCCTCATTCCCACTCACTGCCATCCCTCATTCCCACTCACTGCCAGCCCTGCATGATCCCGTCGAGCAGGTTGTAGCAGGACGCCAGCCAGCCAGCCAGCCAGCCAGCAAACAAGCAAGCAACCAGGCAAGCAAACAAAGCAAGCAAGCAATCAAGCCAGCAGGCAAGCAGCATGCCTCATTCGCACTCACCGCCAGCCCTGCATGAATCCGTTGAGCAGGTTGTAGCAGAACGCCAGCAGCATCACCGTCAGCGGCATCGTCTTGCCCTCCGCTCGCATCCGCATCGGGTAAATCAGAACCCGGTGAAAATAATGCACCAGAAAAAACGCCATAACCACCGGCGCCGCATCCGCCGCCTCCGCTACCGCTGCCGTCGCACCCGCCGTTGATCCCGCCGTCCGATCTGCCACGTGGCAGCCGTGCCAGCCCCAACTGAACACCATGGCGGAGAGCCAAAGCGCGGGGCTTTCCATGACGATCCACGCGAGCCGCGCGGGGATTAACGGTCCCCAGCCGGGTCGCACGTGTCGGCCGTACGGCGCGGAGATGAATGCGGTGGCGAGGCATGCAACGGGAGCGAGGAGGAACATAACGGGTACGGCGATTCGGAAGAGGGAAGCGAGAGTGGAGGCCGACGGCGACTCGAGCATCGTGGCGCGAGTGAGAAGCTCACGAGCTGGAGAGAAAAACGGATCCATGTATGCGACGTCGCAAACTTAGTAGGCTGACAATACGCGCATCGTGCTAGATAAGTATTCTTGCTATGGCGTTAACCGCGACTCCATTGCTGGGGTCGACGCGTGAAGGCGAGGAGATTAGGGCTGTCGATCCGAATCTCAAGGCTTGATTGTGCTTGAAATATGGCGGCGAGAGGAGGGACAGCTGAGCGACACGGGAGCTAGAGATGGAAAGCCATGGAATCTAGAAGGCAGCGGAAACTAGCAGGTAAAATACTGATAAGTGAGTCAGAAGTTGAGCAAGGGCGAGTCGCAGATATTTGCGTCTGAGTCTGACATCTCAAATGGTGTAGTTCGGTGCGCAAAGGTTTGAAGTTCGTGGAACCAGGAACCGTTTTCAAACTTGAAGAAACGTTTTGAACCGTGCAAGTCGAACCCTAAACAATTTATCTTTTATCCCTCCTCATCTCGCTCCCATAGATTCAACACGCACAGCCAGCAGCGAGTCTTTCCGCTGAATTACGAGCTGGAATCTGGCAGGAAAGCAAGCCAGTCCCGGGCTGATTCGCGTCAGTCCCATTTGGAGCCTTGCAGATCAGTGGTAGTGTCTCGTCACGTAGTGTGTTGTTGCTGTGGCGCTGGGGCTTCGAGAGGCTCTTTCGATTGCGAGTTACTTTGAGCCTAGAGAAGAGCACTTAGGGACTGATCTGCTCTCGAACGAGCTTCGAAGACCCCTGGAAACGGGAGGAGTGCAAATGTGCACGACATATTAGTTTCCGAAGATTTTCCAGGGAAAATGCTTGCAGCGTAGCGTTAGCTTCGATAGGATACCGCAGCTCCCCGACTTTGACTTACACCGAGTATTCAGATTACATAGAAGCAGCCATGTTCAAGTGCCTTCTTATAACGAATAAGACAGGGAATATCCTTTTGGAAAGGTGAGGAAGCGGAAAAAAAAGTCCTCCTCCCTTTCCTCGGTCCTCGTCCCTCTCCTCCTACTCATCCCTATCCGCGTCCTCTCTGTCCCTCTCGAGCAAGACAACTGGAGGACAAAAGGGACAAGGGCAAGAAGCCGGAGCGGCAGTTGGCTCACGCCGTTACCTCCCTTCTCCACTTATGCTTGATTTACCTGACCAATCAGATTCGTTCTTTGAGTCGCCTTAATCTATTCCCCTCCCATGCCTGATGCACCTGACTAATCAGATTCCACGGGCTATCAGCAGACGAGCGCGGCCAATGGCGGGCGTTCCTCTTCAAGCTGGGTCACGACAACCTGTCGACAGCAGTTCCCGAGGAGCAATTCGTGGCCTGTTACAAGTAGGTGTTACCAGTAGGTGTTCTATGTTGGTGTTAGATGTAGGCGTTACATGATCAAAGAGAGTATATTCCTCTTCAACCTGGGTCACGACAACCTCTCCACAGCAGTTCCCGAGGAGCAATTCGTGGCCTGTTACAAGTAGGTGTGACAAATAGGTGTCACTTGTAGGTGCCATTCATACGTGTAACAACTGGGTGTTACATGATGAAGGACAGTGTATCTGTGCTAGCGCTGGGGCCCTAGAGCCTGTTGACTGCAGCACTTGGCGTTCCTCTTCAAGCTGAATCATGACTACCTCTCCACAGCAGTTCTTTAGGTGTTACAAATCGGTGTTACAAGTAGGTGTTACAAGTAGGTGTTACAAGTAGGCGTTACAAGTATGTGCTTCACCTCCCATCGACACCTGCGTGGTTTGGTTGCAGCCGTTGCTGACTCTCCTGCCCATTTGACTCATTCCCCTTCTTGCTCCTCGATTCTTACCCTCACCTCATCCCCTCACCTCATCCCCTCGCCTCATCCCCTCACCTCATCCCCTCGCCTGCCTCATTTCCTTTTGAACCCTCCTTTGTCTCGTCCCACCTTCCTCCCTTCTCTCCTCCTCACCCCTCTCGCCTCCCCTTCCCTCCCCTCCCCTCCCTTCCGCTCCCCTCCCCTTCTCTCCCTCGCCACATCCAGCACCATTTTGTGCTGAGATCTCCGCGCCTTTTCTTTTCCTGAACTGTGTGGTTGTTATTCGTCACACCTCATCTCCTCACTTCATCCCTTCATCTCAACCCCTTATCTCGCCTCAACCCATCCCAGCAGCACCTACGTGGTCTACACTTCTATTGCTGACATCCCTGCGTTGTGTGCATGCATTTCCCTCCTATCCGTTCTCCCCATTCCCTCCCCTCACCCTCTCCCCTTCCTCCCCTAATCCCAGCAACACCTACGTGGTCTACACGTCTATTGCTGACATCCTTCCATTCATTGTGCGCTTTCCTCATCTCACACGCTCCATCACCCCCTCCCTTCCCCTTCTCTCGACTCCCCTTCCTCCCCTAATCCCAGCAACACCTACGTGGTCTACACGTCTATTGCTGACATCCGCATTTATCTCATTGGAGACGACGAATATGATGAGCTGGCATGTGAGTATGGTGAGCTGGCATGTGAGTATGATGAGCTGGCGTGTGAGTATGATGAGCTGGCATCTGAGTATGCTGAGCTGGCATCATAGTATGCTGAGCTGGGATGTGAGCATGCTGAGCTTTTAGGTGAGTACGATGAGTTGGCATTGCCTCTGGTAAGATGCCATATATCTCCTCCACTGCACTGCACTGCACTGCACCTGCCACTTCAGTGTTCTATTAACATCGCAACGCAAGTGAGTATGCCGATCTCACAGGTAAGTACAGTGAAACCCCAGTGCACTGCCGTGCCATATATCTCCTGCATTGCACCCCGCCTCATAAATCAAGTCCTACCCGCCCTGACCCTCCTGCACTGCACCCCTCAACACCCCAGTATCGGAGATCCTGACAATGATTCTCGACTTGCTCAATTCTGCATGCGTCCCCCCCACTCTCCCTTCCTGCCCCCTTCATTTCCTCCCGCCTCCTGCCACAACCCCTTACACCCCAATATAAGGGTTCCTCACCATGATTCTAAATCTGCTCCTCTCATCTCATCAGGCTTGCCCTCCTCATTTCCCTGCTTAACCGCCAACCCCCAACGCCCCAGTGTCGGAGATCCTCTGCTCCGGGCGGCGTCCCTTCTGAATCATCACCTACTACTCCCCTTCTCCTTCTCCGTTCCTCTCCCTTTCCCCCTCCTCCCCCCTCCTCTACACCCCAGTGTCGGAGATCCTCACCATGATTCTCAATCTTCTCACTTCTGCATACACCGTTCCCCTCCCTCCCGCTTCCCTTTTTCTTCCCCACTCCCCCCTCCTCTCAACACCCCAGTGTTGGAGATCCTCACCATGATTCTTGTCCTGCTGTGAGCTAGTAAACCCTGACTCATCTCGCCAGGCATGTCTACCTCACTTTCCCCCAACTTCCCTCCTCCCTCCTCCCCTCCCCTCCTCCCAGTGTCGGAGATCCTCACAATGATTCTCGATCTGCTTACTTCTGCATGTACCCTTCCTCCGCCCCCCCGCTTCCCCCTTTCCTCCTCACTTCCCCCCCCCCTTTCGAATGCCCCAGTGTCGGAGATCCTCACCATGATTCTCAATCTGCTCTGGGCATCATGACTCGTGACTTATCCTGTCCGTTACTCCCATCTTACCCCCTCTCTCCCTTCCGTCCGTTTCTCTCCCTCCAGTGTGGGAGATCCTCACCATGATTCTCGATCTGCTCCGGGCAGCGTCTCTTCTGCGTCATCACCTATTCTGCCCTTTCTCCTTCCCTCTCCCTTTCCCCCTCCCACCCCTCAACACCCATTGTCGGAGGTCCTCACCATGATTCTCCATCTTCTCACTACACCCTTCCTCCGCCCTCCCGCTTCCCCCTTCCCTCTCCCTTTCCCCCTCGCTCTCAACACGCCAGTGTTGGAGATCCTCACCATGACTCTCGATCTGCTCCGGGCATCATGACTCGTGACTTATCCTGTCCGTTTCCCCCCTCTCCCCCCATCTCCCCCCTCTCCCCCCCTCTCCCCTCCTCTCCCCCCCCCCCCCCCCCCCCCCCCCCCCCCCCCTCCCCAACGCCCCAGTGTCGGAGATCCTCACCATGATTCTCCATCTGCTCCGGGCGGCGTGCAAGAGGCCTCCCCTTCCCACCTCTTTCTCCCTCCCCTTTCTTGTCGTCCACCCCCCTCCCCTCCTTCCAGTGTCGGAGATCCTCACCATGATTCTCGATCTGCTCCGGGCGGCCTGCAAGCGTCTTCTCACTTCTTTCTTCCTCTCCTCTCTTCTTGTCCACCCCTCATCACCCCAGTGTCGGAGATCCTCACCATGATTCTCGATCTGCTCCGGGCGGCCTGCAAGCGCACGCCGACCCAGGCTGCGCTGCTGGACCGGTACGGCAAGGTTTGTCTGTGTCTGGACGAGGTCATCGCGCAGGGCAGGGTGGAGCACATGGACGTCGACCGGATTCTGCGCCTTTCACGGCTCAAACCACTGGATGCCTCTTAAGAATAGGCAGGTATAGTTGATACTGTACTTGCATGGACGAAACATTAGAGGCAAGGTTTGTCTGTGTCTGGACGAGGTCATCGCGCAGGGCAGGGTGGAGCACATGGAGGTCGACCGGATTCTCCGTCTCTCCCGTTTAAAGCCCCTGGATGCCTCATAAGAACAGGCAGGGATACCTGATACTGTATTTGCATGGACGAAACAATAGAGGCAATAGAGCCTGTAGAGGTGATCGCGCAGGGCCGGATGGAGCACATGGAGGTGGACCGGATTCTCCGTCTTTCTCGGTAAAAGCCCCTCGATGCAACAGTCACGCGGCTATAGAGGTGATTGCGCAGGGCCATCCGAGCGGGGAACCGGACAGACCGGGTGGGACCATATCCTGCGCTGCGCCTCTCACGCCTCAAACCGCTGGCTGGATGCTTTGTAGCAGCATTTAAAGCATAATTTGACCTCGATCGAATACTGGCACTGGGGTTTAGGGTTGCATGGACGAGCTGACGGTGATAGGAGATCGAGGTTGACCGCATGGGGCAGCGAATGGAGCACATAGTGATGGACTCTAGCCTGCGGCTCTCTCGGCTGAAGCCCTCTGGATGCCTCGTAGCAGCAGTGAAGCGCAATGTGATGTGGAAATGGAAGCATGCTGCTCATGGAACTAAGGAAAACCAGTGAGCAAGCATGTAAGTTTTAGTTTGAGGTAAGACCAGGGAGTCAGGGACAGGCAGGGGAGCTACAGGTATTAAGGAAATGAAATACCGGTACCATCCAACATTCATCTACCGTATCGTAAGGAGCTGGGAATGGGAGGAGCCTGTTGCAGTGCAATGTACGGTAACAGTTCACCTCTGCCATGGTTGTGGATAATGACGAGGAAAAATTCAAGGTTATTATTATTGTTTCTAGCTTAGAAAAATGATGTACCGATACTGTAAGATGTCATCAGCTACTACTTTCTAGGTACCGGTATAAAGAGCCCCTACCATTTCCACTGTTGCTGCTGCTGCTGTCTTTCCTCATTCCCAAAAACACCAGAGCCAATTTTGTTGCCATAACTCACTGCCACAAAATCCTAACGGTCCAACCCCTCCCTGTCTCAAAGCTCCTACTCCAGTACAGCCCACGTGAGAGCTCACAGCAACGCGCAGCGACGCACGTGCATTTGATCGTATGCCCCTGCTCCTCCCTACCCTCTTCCTCACATCAACCCACCAACAGGTCAAAGAACTACTTCCTGCTTCCACCCTTGCTTCGGTCACCCTTCCGCCATCCCGCCCCACCGGACGTGATGCCCAGCCGTACCTCACCACCGCGCATCACCCCTCACAAATAATACGGTTACACCCTATTTTCTCCCATTCCCCATGCATCGATCGCCCCCCTGCCATCCCATTCCACCTGCAGCGATGCACGGGCTTTTAGAGGCCTTCAGATGCTGCACCACCCTTTCCTCATGGCCAGCCCGTAACTCTCCACCATGCATCACCACTCTCAACCTATCTGGTGCTACACCATTCCATCACACCAACCAATCAGTGGCTTCAACCCCTGCTTCTTGCTTCCTCTCTTCCCCACACCCCACGCCTCAATCGTCCAGCTGCCTCTCCCTCCCACTCTAAAGCAACGCCCTGGCCTTCAGATGCTGCACCATCCTCATCGCCAGCCCATACCTCTCCACCGTGCATCACCGCTCCCAACCCATCCAATGCAACACCACTCCCATCACACCAATCAATAGACCCTACTTTCTGACTCCCCTCTTCCCCACTCCCCATGCCTCAATCGCCCGCCTCCCATCCCCTCCCACTCGCAGCGACGCACGGGCTTTAAGAGGCCGCACCATCCTCATCGCCAGCCCATACCTCTCCTTCAAATCCACCTTGTTGCACTCCCCCCCCTTATAATCACTCCCGTTACAGTCCCCTCCGTTACTTCCGTTACAGTCACTCTTATTAGAGCCTGTAACAGGGGCTTCCCAGTTGAAGGCGTGTACGAGCCGACCCAGCATGATGGTAACCAGCTGGTGCCCGAGCCTCTGCCCGACGCACATTCGCCTGCCCGAACCAAACGGCAGCAGGCGGAAATCAAACCCCCTCATATCCACCTCCTCCCCCACTATCCGCTTCACACCCTCTCCTATTCCGCTCTCGGGCAGCTCGAAAACTTCTCCGGGCAGGAACCGCTCTGGCACGAACCTGTCAGGCTCGGGCCACAGGCTCGGGTCGCGGGAAATAGACCACACATTAACTAGCACCATAGTTCCCGCAGGGACCCTGTATCTGCCGCTACAGAGATCTACAGGACCGGTGGTGCTATGGGCGATCAGGAACGCGCCTGGAGGGTGCATGCGAAGCATCTCTTTCACGACAGCCTGGAGATAGGGTAACCGCATGAGCAACGCTTCGCCCCCCGTCTGCTCCCAAGCCTCCTCGAGATCCGATTGCGATTTGATTTTATCCGATCCGTGCTCCCTGTGCCACTGCTCTAGCGCGACGTCTATCTCCGTTTGTAGCCGCTTCATTGCATCGGGCCGGTTGACCAGCTCCGCTAAAGCCCACTCTGTGCTAACCGCTGCAGTGTCTGTACCCGCTACAAGCAGATCCTGTAGCAGCGAAGTGATCTCCACGTCATCTACCACCAATCCTGATCCAGCCGCCGCCGCTGCTCCCGCCGCTACCGCTGCAGCAACAGGGGTTTTACCAACCCCAAACCCTGAACCCCCGTTCACTGAACCTTTTACACCTTTAGAATCTTCCCTGTCATCAGCCCTAGCAGCACCATTCATCTGCTTTCGCTCCTGCTGCTGCTGCTGCTGCTCCTGCTGTTGCTGCTGCTGTTTCTGCAACATCAGAAGCACATCCAGAAAATCCCTCTCCGGATCTTCCGGGTTTTCAAGAGGTGCGAATGTAGAAGCATCCTCCATCACCCCGCGCCTCTGCCCACCCTCCCTATCCGTCCCCTCCGTCCCATTATCCTCCGCCTCCGCTGCCGCTGCGGCTTGCGCCTCTTTCGCGCGTTTCCCCTCCTCCTCCCTCCGCATCCTCCGGTGATCGTCCAGCACGCCGCGGAAGAATTTCTGAAGCTTCGGCGCAAGTACGCGGCACTTGCCTGTTACCCCGCCGGTCCACTTGTCGAACCAATCGCATTCCGCCACGTGGTCGACGTAGTTAAACGGTCCTAAGAGCCCCGCGATTTTAAAGATCACGGAGTTAACTTCGTCTGCGAGCGCGTCCGGCTTTCCCGGCCGGCTGAACTGATACCGGCGCCCGCAGCTCATGCGGAGGATATTGTTCAAAGACACCCGCGCGAGATGCGGGCGGATCTCGACTTCCGCCCACGCGGAACCCTCCGCTTGCGCCGCCGCTTTCCCCGTTGCTTTTCCCGCCGCTTTTTCCGCCGCCGCGATCTCGTCGACCACCGCGGTTACCATCCCTTCCGCCTCGTCCGCGCGCACTCCGCGCCAAGCCGCGATGCGCTCCGCCGTGAACAGGTGGCTCGTCGCGAGCTTCCGCCGATGCACGAAAGGCGGCCCGTACGGCGCGAACACGAGATCGCGCGGTCCGTGAGTCAAAAGCGCGGATGTGATCGCTGCGGGGCGCGACGCGCATGCCATGTCAGCATCCCGCAAAACCTGGCGCGCGGCGGCTGGAGAGGAGAGGACGACCGTTGGAGTTCGGCCGAGACGCATCCCCATTACTGGACCGTAGATCTCGGCGAGATCCGTGATCCGACGGTGAGGATCGCCGTCGCGAAGGATGTTAGGCAGACTGCCAAAGAACGGCAATCCCCAGGGCCCTGGAGGGAACTTTCCGCGAAGCCACAGCACCCAGGTAGACGACCAGAACGCGGACGATCCGGTTACCAGTTTCGCCTCGCCTTCCCCGGCTTTCGCTCCCTTTCGCTTACGACTGGAGGATGACGTGGAAAAGAAGAGGAGAGAGACGGCAGGGAGAAACCCGAGTAGGAGGAGGAGGAGAGTGGGGAGGATGGGGAGGGAGAGAGTGTGGGGAGTGGGGGACCAGGGAAGGTCGATGTGTCCCCATGATAAGAGCGACTGCGCGTTGGGTCGAGGAATAGCCCACGTAAAGCCCCCCCAACCCATCCTGTGGCCTGATCGCCTCGATATTGACGCTGGCGGGTTGGGATATTGAATAGAGCGACACCAGACTAAGTAGAGAAGCTGGTTTGTGGAAAAAGCGGACGTTGATTGACCTAGTGAAGCGCGATTTATGTCAGAAAAAGCGCGATCGTGATATGCGTTCGGAAACGCATTCCCACACCCGTGACAGGACGGGACGTGGACTAGAAAAGTCTCTCGGGGAGGGAAGCTCTAGTCCAAGTAAGTTAGAGATCACGCAAAGAGCTTATGCTGTTATGATATGCTAGACTGAACTGTCGCCATTGCTATCATCCATGGCCACACGTTGGGGATGGGGAAAATAAAGCCGAGCTTTTGGGACAGGAGATGCGCAGAGATTCTGCTGAACCTGTTTCTGGTAATTTGGTAACTGTGCTGAGAGTCCGAGAGGTGAAACCACAGTTGTGGAAAGGTTGGACACGACACTCAGGCCACGAAGCGACGTTGACGAGATGGTGCGAATCAACTGAGATATGTCAGAAACGCACCGCGAAGTTACACAAAGCAGTTGCTTCTCCCCTTCACCAGAATGTCCTGCGAAATCCCGTGCGACACCTTTCAACCTCCAGATAAGTCAATCCCAGTCAGAAATCCAGCATGACAAGATGGGCTGACCCCTTGGCAATTTCGGAGGGGAAGTTCGTGACTCTCGATGACGTCAGAGCTGCTGGATGAGGTGACAATGCTTCACACAACCTGGTCCACGTGTAAAGGGGATCCAGCCCCAGGTTTGACGTGGACATGGCTTCATTACTATCAAATCACCTCCAGCAGCTTCCACCCACCGTGCTACTTCCACACCGCCTAAACGATGTGCGCCTTACCATTACCACGAGAAGCCAATTTCATTAAGGACTAGTATAAACTTAGCATAATATACCAAGAGTTTTTTGAATGATACTAAGTCAATTTTAATATTGAGCAGGTTAATATGCAAGAAGTAAAAGTTCTGATTGCAAGATAGATATCTTGCATTTAAACACAAAGTTTCTGCTATATACACGAACTGCTATACCATATACAGTTGTCGAATTTCGAGCCAGGATGGAATTTCTGGAGGCGCAACACAACCTGCGCCTCGCAGCAGAAGATTGCAAACTGTACGGTACGAATTGTACATGGTTCCGTTGGCAGGATGGTCGTTTCGACCGTGGACCAATAACCAGGCGCAGCGGGGCGGGGTGCAGTTGTAGTCGGTTCAGCTGAATTCTCTGGTGGCACCGTCCCCCCTGCCTCCACCAACCGACCAGACCAAAGCTATTGTAACAGTTAAAACATATCTGAACGCATGATATCGTAGTGCACCGTACAGTACTTCAGCAAACCGCAATCTCACGCCAGTTTTGCCGAGTCGAGTCCTGCCCTTCCCTAGTTACCTTGTCCTTACGTCAGGTGAGTACAGTATTAGTTAGGGGTGGGAAAGGGTAGGACAGGCTAAGTACAAGCAAGGACTCTAGGCCAAGGGCTATAGCTAGCGACCTAGGACGGAAGTCTGTACCGGATGCGCCGCCAAACGCACGAGAAACGGATACGTGGCACACCTTTACATCCTAGCCGCTCAGAACACTCGTTGTATTCTCGTCTGTCTCATCCGCGTCGTATTCGTTATGTTTCATATCCCCAACCCGAATTAGCCTAGCGAGGGAAGATAAGTAAGGACGCTTGCGTGGTCGTTCATAACCGCGCCGATAGACCAATCGCCGCCCAGCCAGCTCTGGAAGATAAGGCGTCCAGCCTGGCCTAAAACGCGTACAGCGTGCGAGGCGCCGACAACGAGTCCGAGCCGCCCATAGACAGTTTCTTGAACGCGTATCACGTGAGCGCTTTAAAGATAGAGCCTCTCAGAGACTCCTTACTATAGCTAGCCGACATTCTAAACCCGTCGCGCCGTGCTCCCTTGAGTCGACCCATTCCTCGCTCGTCAAACTCCGACTTTCGCACAATTAACATCGTAGCCGCGCGTCGGACGCAAAGCTCGCTACGAACGCCATTCACCTTTCGCCACCACGGTTTGTTCAACTAGCCCGCATAAGCCGCGATCACCATGGCCCGCACCCTCCCCCTCCTTCCCGTCCTCCTCCTCCTCGCTCTCTCCTCGCTCCTCTCCGTCACATGCCGCCCCAGTCCTCTCGCCACCTCCAATGCCGCCAGCAAAACCGGCGGCGGAAAACGCGGCGGGAGCCGTGGCGGGAAGCCTGGCGGGAAGCCCGGCGGGAAATCCGGCGGGAAATCCGGCGGGAGTAAGAAGGGCGTTTCCGCGGTGAGCTGCCCGTCGCCGTGGCCGGAGCTCGACAGCTGCCCCACCAGCGAGTCGCTGCCGGCGCTTGAGGTGTGTGCGCGCGCTTTGCATTGAATTCCTATCTATCGACCCATCCAGCCGTCACTATATTATGCCATTGAGCGGGCGTCTAAAAGATTTACCCGTTTGTCGACGTCTCGCCTGCTCGCTCGCTCGCTCGCTCGCTCCGCGGTGAGCTGAGCTGCCCATCGCTGTGGCCGGACCTCGACCGCTGCCCCACCAGCGAGTCGCTCCCGCAACTCGAGGTACTCGCTCGCGCTTTGCACTGTGATTTAATCAGTTTCGAGAATGGCTCGCTTGAGCTCGACAGCTGCCCCACGACACGAGCGAGTCGCCCCCGCAGCTTCAAATGCGCCTCCTGCGTCCAGCATCTCGCGTTTCACGTGTTGCGAGATTGACACGTGGACCGTACAAGGTGTCTCCATGTTGGCGCGCAACAACGGGACCCGCGTCTTCCCCTCACTCCCCCCCCGTCCGCCAGGACTCTCAAACGGAGTTCCCAGGGGCGGTGTGAAGCACGCTGCGGCCGCCGCACAAGGCGGCAGGGGACAAGCAAATAACAGGACCTCCATCCCCTTCCTCCTTCCCCCCCCTCACCGCACATATCCCCCGTTTTCCCCTCCCCTCTCAGGATGCGCAAACGGAGTTCCCAGGGGCGGTGTGGGGCGCGCTGCGGCCGCACAAGGTACCGGGGGCGCGCAACAGCGCAGCGGATGCCACGTGGCTGAACAAGGACGAGCGCGACACGGAGGTGTACATCGAGGAGTGCTGCTCGCTGTGCGCGCTCAACGACGCATGCGAGTACTGGACGTTTACACGGAAGCTTGATTCCATCAAAGGTACGCCTATATGCGAGAGCCTCCCTTTCCTCCTAATTTGCTGGGAACTGTGAGTGCTCTCCCTTCCTTCCCCCCTCCCCCCTCCACTACATCGAGGAGTGCTGCTCGCTGTGCGCGCTGAACGACCAATGCGAGTACTGGACTTTCACGAGAAGGCTGGATTCCATCAAAGGTGCGCTCTTCCTCTTCCTCCTCTTCCTCTTCCTCTTCCTCTTCCTCTTCCTCCTCCTCTTCCTCTTCCTCTTCCTCCTCCTCTTCCTCCTCCTCTTCCTCCTCCTCTTCCTCTTCCTCTTCCTCTTCCTCTTCCTCTTCCTCTTCTTCCTCCTCCTCCTCCTCCTCTTCCTCTTCCTCCTCCTCTTCCTCTTCCTCCTCCTCTTCCTCTGCAACGCACACCTCTCCCTCCCCCTCCCCTTCGCCGCCCCTGCTCGCCCCTCTTCACCGATTGACGTTGAAACTTGACCCTCTGTTCCTCCTTCCCTCCTTCCTCCCCATGCCCCCCTTTTTCCCTCTCCCCCCACCACCCAGGCACATGTCAGCTTTTTTCCATCCAGCAGTGCGCCCCAGCAACACCTGCCCCGCCTCTCTGTTCCTACTCACGTGCCTTTCTCCATTCCCTACAAAACTCTCCCCCCCCCTCCCCCCCCCCACCACCCAGGCACATGTCAGCTCTTCTCAAGCCAGCAGTGCGCCCCCAGCACTACCTATTCCGCCATCTCCTCCCCTGCCTCCTCCGCTTCTCCCCCCCGCACCCACCACCCCGTCGCCTCCCCCAAGGTCTCCTTCTCCTTCCGCAAGGCACCAGAAGACGCCGCCCTTCCGACCCCGGGCGGCTCCGACGGCACGACTGGCAATGGTGGGGCGGGCGGCGGCACAGGTGCAGGGACAGCGGGAGGGGGACTGGATGATCCGTTAATTGGGTCAGGCGGTAACGGGGGGGAGCAGCAGCAGCAGCAGCGGCGGCAGTGGGAGCAGCAGTGGCGGAGGCAGCAGCACAGGGAGCGGTAGCAGTGGCAGCGGCAGCGGTAGCACTACCACCACAGGCAACACCACCTGTCCTTCCTTCTCAGGCTGCCTTTCCGCCTGTCCAGCTGGCACCAGCGCAATCACCCAGCTGTACAGCGACACGTCAGCGCCTGCCACGTCAGCAGCGGCTGACGTGGCGCGGGGGAGGCTGTACGGTGTGGATTCACCGGCAGCGGGGTGGAGTGTGATTGGCGAGGCGGGGTATTTGAGCATTGGGGGGTGCTGTCAGGCTTGCAAGGCAGGGGCAAGCAATGACTGCTACTACTGGACGTGGCAGCATGATCCACAGCAAGGGGATTACGACAGAGGTGAGGCGGTTGAATGCGGTTGAAGGTGGTGGAATGTGGTGGATCGTGGTGGGGGAGGTGGGGTATCTGAGCTTTGGGGGGTGTTGTCTGAGCTTTGAGCGTGTAAGGCAGGGGCAAGCAATGACTGTTACTACTGGACGTGGCAACATCATCCAAAAGAGGGGGATTATGACAGAGGTAGGTGGTGGAGTGCGGTCGAATGCATTCATTCATTCATTCATTCACACAGCCATGCACTGTGGAGTAGAGCACTCCACTGCTTTCCTGCTGTAGATTGTTTTTTAGAATTCTAGAAAACAATCGATACCCTGTTCGTCGTCTCATGCAGGCCTGTGCTGTGCAGCAAGCAACATTACCCCACACCACAGCCATGCACTGTGGAGTAGAGCACTCCGCTGCTTTCCTGCTGTGCCCCTGCTTTCCTGTCACAGCTGCTCACTGCACACACACCTCTCAAATACACCTGCCTTTCGCAGTGTCCCCTTTTTCCTGCTGCCTCTCTGCTCTGCCCCCATCTCTTCTGCAGGGCTGTGCACGCTATTCCACAGCCAGGCGTGTCGCTTCATGTCAGATGAGGGGCTTTTCGGAAACACAAGCCTTTTATTAACCTCCTTCATTGTTCCGCTGTCTGCCTGCCTGCTTGCCTCTCTGCTGCTATTCCCTTCCCCCTGCAGGGCTGTGCACGCTATTCCACAGCCAGGCGTGTCGCTTCATGACAGACGAGGGCTTTTTCTCCCCGCCTGTGTTTGACCCCGCACAGACCAACACGTTCATGTTCCCGCTGCCCTGTTACTCGGCTGTGTAACCATTGCTGCAAAGGCCGTACGCTCTACCGTATTATTAGTACGTTTGTGATTCTATCTATGTATTGCTGTGTATAATATATATTTTGGATGTTGGATGCAGCAGGCAATGGACTGTATTGGGTTGCAATATGCCGAGACGCGGAAACATAGTGTGGTTGGGTAACACAGAAACAAGCATCTCATAGTGCACGACATGAGCCTTCATGTGCCACAACCAGCAGTGTCCAGACCGAATCAGCAGGTTCCGCAAGGGATCAGAGAATGCAGGCGCAAGCAGCACGAGAAGACCGGCTAACATGCACTAGCTCTAGTAGCAGGAATGAGACGACGATACGGAAATCTGGTAAAATGACGACAAGGTAACAGTAACATGATACCATGGTAACATAGTGACAAGGTGGCATGATGACATGATAACGTGGTAACATGTACACATTGACAAGCACTTGGATGGTGCACGAACAGACATACTAGCCAGGCGGGTGGAACATCTCATTCATCGTGCGCTGCCATGGTGCCTCGTCTTCTCATGCGTGCATTTTCTTCTCCTGCCCACCACCAGCCTGCTATTGTCTCATCGCCCAGTGAGTCACACCCCCATATGTCACACTCACTCCCATACTTCAACTCCCCCATTCCCCACCACCCACTAGCCAAGCGGTTGAAACATCTCACTGATCGTGCGCTGCCATCCTGCCTCTTCTTCTCATCCCCACCCGCGCACCCCCAGCCTGCTCAGCTCTCCCCTACTCCCCTCCACCCACTAGCCAGACGGCTGGAACATCTCATTAATCGTGCGCTGCCTCCTCTTCTCATCCCCACCCCCACACCCCGCTGCAGTCACACCTACATCAGTCACACCCCCATGGGTCAGGCCCCCCCACTTCCCACTGCCCTGCTCCCCCTGCTGCTCCTGCTCATCCCCCTCTCGCCTCTTCCTGCCTGCAAGCGCAGCAGAGGAGGAGGCCTGGCGAGGGTCCTTGTGCATGTGTAGGGACTGCTTCTGCTCCCCATCCATCACCTGTTGGAGGAAGGGGTAGAGTGGTGCATTCACAATCAAATCAATTCACACACAGAATGAGTTGCATGCCTTGAAGCAGAGGAGGCGGAGGAAGAAGAGGCGGCATGGCGAGGGTCCTTGTGCATGTGTATGGACTGCTTCTGCTCTCCATCCATCACCTGTCGGAGGAAGGGAGCATGATGGGGCATGACGAAACAATGTCACATTCACATTCACAGACAAGTGAGTCGCCAAAGGAGGCGGCATGGCGAGGGTCCTTGCGCATCTGAAGCGACTGTGTCTGTTTTCCTTCCTTCCCCTGTTGGAGGAAGGGATGGGGCAGAGCGATGCTTTCAGAGAAATGAACCATGAGCTTGAAGCAGAGGATAATGGGGCATCGCTGCTGTACATATGCGCTCGCACTCACTCACTGCTCTGAGGTAAATCAAATCACCTCAAAGCCGTGGGCTTGAAGCAGGGGACAGTGGGACATAGCTGCTGTACATATGCACTTGCACTCACTGCTTCTGCTCTAAAGGCTCCACAAGCCGACACCATTCCACCCACCTGCATAGCACCCATCCGCCACACTGACCATCCACACCATACACCCTCACCTGCCCCACCCACCCACTCAAACCGAGGCACACCCACGAGTTGACTCAAAAGCGACTGCAAGGTGCTCCAGACCCACACCCATCCACCCATCCGCCACACTAACCATCCACACCATGCACGCTCACCTGCCCCACGTACCCATCTGCGGTCCCCCCTCACCCACCAACCCACCCACCTGTCCCAGGTTCTCCAGCTTGTGTTGAACAACGCTCCTGAGAAAAGTTTTGAGACGCCTCATTACCCACCCGTCACCCGCCCACCCACCCTTCCACCATCCCACCCTCCCACCATCCCACCCATTTTCCCACCCACCTGTCCCAGGTTCTCCAGCTTGTGTTGAACAACGCTCCTGAGCAAGAGCAGATGGTGGGCAGGTGGAAAGAGATGAAAGAGAGGAAAGAAGCGGGAAAATGGGTAAGGGAGGAAAAACACGAACGAGAAGAAAGGGCGAGAAGGAAAGAGAATTAAGGAGAGATGATGAGGAAATGAAAAAGAGGAAACCCAAAGGGTAACGCAATGAGGTGGAGATTTTTTTCAGATGACCCATAAATTGGTTGAGATTGAGTTAACCCAAGCGTTTCAAGGAGACTCTTCAGCACCAATAGAGAGGCGCCAGGAGAGGGCACAGAGGAGAGGGCACAGAGGAGAGGGCACAGAGGACAAACACCACACGTACACAAACACCCATCATATCAGGTGATCGATGGTTTCAGGCGCATGCAAACAATACACGTTCACCATACAGCACACACACCATGTACAGTCAGCACAGGGCACAGGGCACAGGGCACAGAGCACTCCGCACACACACAACACAGTGCACCCAAGCACCCACCATATGAGGTCATCAATGGTTTCAGGGGCGTGCAGATAATACACATTCACCGAATTTGCCTGGATGGTAGAGAGGAAGGGCAGGTGGAGGGATGAGAAACAGGTGGAGAGCAGATGGGAATGGCGGAGATAGCACAACCAAAGGGAAACGGGAGCAGGGAGCAAGAAGAAAACACAACCTGTACCCTTCGCCCCACCAATAAGCCAGCACCCACCTACCCTATCCTGTGCGCAATATCCTGTGCCTGCACCATATATCCTGAATTCCATGCAATATTCTCCTCTACCACCCGCCAACGCACTCCACCCCCCAGCACCCACCCACCTGCCCTATCATGTGCGCCCTGTTCTTCGCCTGCACCAAGTCCCCCGGGTTCCGCCCACACACACTCCCCTCTTCCCTCCAAGTTCAACCTTTAACATTCCGTCACCGTTCTTAACCCCTCACCACCCACCTGCCCTATCCTGTGCGCCCTGTTCTTCGCCTGCACCAAGTCCCCCGGGTTCCATGCCATCTCCCTCTTCTCTACCCAACACCTTACAAGGCCTATCCACCGCACTCAACCGCCCAGCACCCACCCACCTGGCCTATCCTATGCGCCCTGTCCTCCGCCTGAACCAAGTCCCCCGGGTTCCACGCCATCTCTGCAAAGACTACAGTGCTGGCTGCTGTGAGCGTGAGTCCCACGCCCGCTGCATGGATGCCCAGCTGCAAGGGTGAGAGGAAGAGGAAAGTGGCGGGATGAGGGGTGGAATCAGTGGATTGACAAGGGGATAATCGTAGTAGCAACAAAAGTAGCCATGTCTGCAAAGACCACCGTGCTGGCTGCTGTGAGCGTGAGTCCCACGCCCGCTGCATGGATGCCCAGCTGCAAGGGTGAGAGGAAGAGGAAAGTGGCGGGATGAGGGGTGGAATCAGTGGAATGACAAGGGGATGATCGTAGTAGCAACAAAAGTAGCCATGTCTGCAAAGACCACCGTGCTGGCTGCTGTGAGCGTGAGTCCCACGCCCGCTGCATGAATGCCCAGCTGCGTGCACGGGAGGGAGGGGCGAGTGACCCACGTCTGACCAGCCTCAGAGAGACCGTCTCACCACAGCCACACGAGTGCCAGCGTCTTCCTGAAAGCGCGCCACCAGATGGTGCCTCTTTTATCCCCTCACTCGACCCTGGCCCTTTCAACAACCCCACACCCACACCTCAGGGAGACCGTCTCACCACAGCCACACGAGTGCCAGCGTCTTCCTGAAAGCGCGACACCAGATGGTGCCTCTTCTCAGGAGCAGTGCCCCCGTCGATGCGAATGTACCCAACCTTCTCCTTCTGAGGGATGGGGGAGAAAGGGGGAACGGGAAAAGGGGAAAGGGGAGTGAAAGAGGGCGAACTGGGTGCAAAGGGACGAGGGGAGAAAGACAGGAAGACAAAGGGAGTGAATGCATTGAACTGTCCAAAAGACACTTTCAGGACACAGTCCAAAAGGTCTCCAGTTCGAACCCCAGTGTGACCCAATTCCGTACTATCTAATTGGCTAACTGTTTAACAGTACCCTGCAGTTGTAGGCCAGCATTGCTCATGGCAGCACTCCCTTGTAGTAGTTATTAGCACAAAGTACATGCATGGCCTGCTGCTAAAGCAAAACCAATTACATGAAATGGCACGGCGGCACGGAATGGCATGGCATGGGTACCTGGAAGAAGTCGGAAAGCGCATCCACCATGGTCATGTGGTGGGCGAAGGGGCAGGCAGCAAGGCCATAATAGCACATACATACAGGCAAGCATGGGTACCTGGAAGAAGTCGGAAAGCGCATCCATCATGGTCATGTGATGGGCGAACACAAGGAACTTGCACCCCCCCTGCACGAGTGCAAGAACGGGAAGCAAGCAGGGTGGGCAAGCACGAGGTGCAAGCAAGCATGCGAGCAGACACACTTATGAGAATTCTAAAAAATGCATCCATCATGACCATATGATGGGCGAACACCAGGAACTTGCACCCCGCCTGCACGAGTGCGAGCAGGAGAGGGGGCACACACACAGGGGGCACAGGCAAGGAGCACAAAGAAGGAGCACAAACAGACACGCGAACATGCACATTGTTATGAGAATTTTCGTTACAACAGGAAGGTGACTGATCCCCAGTCGCAAGCAGACATGCGAGCAGACATACCAACACCAGGAAACCCAACACAATGCGACACATGATGAATAAAATCTGACATTCAACACTAGCACATCAACCATCACAACAATATGCAAATTCATTACTCACCTTCTCGCACTCACATGCCCATTCACCCCACCAGCCCACATGCATTCACATGCCCATTCAACCCACCTCCATCCCACATGCATTCACATGCCCAGGCCCAAGGTACAGTACTAGGACCCACGACCCAGGGCTCAGAGGTATAAAGCACAAGCACGCACCTCCAGCATGGTCCCCAGGTACTCCCTCACACCATGATGGTGTGCGTAAATGGCAAGGCAAGCATGCATGGTGGTGCCAATTCATACACCCACATGCCCAGCACTCACCTCCAGCATCGTCCCCAGGTACTCCCTCACAGCATCCACCTTTGCCTCTGCTGACTCTGTGTAAAGCTGCTCGCATGGGAGATGGTGATGATGTGAGGGGGAAGGAGAGGAAAGACATTCATGCTACATACGAGCATGGAGAAAGGGCACTGGCACATCGCTCCTCCCCACCAGGTACTCCCCCACAGCATCCACCTTTGCTTCTGCCAACTCTGTGTACAGCGGCTTACATGGGGGATGGTGAGAATGAGGAAGGGTGGGAACGAAGGCAGGAACGGACAAATATGACAGTGGTGAGAGGGCGATGGGGCGTGGTACCTAGGTATTAGGTACTCCCTCACAGCCTCCACTTTTGCTTCTGCCGACTCTGTGTAGAGCTGCTCGCATGGGGAACGGTGGTGATGAAGGAACGGAAGGGGAACGGCTCTGCTGCTTCTTGAGAGTGGTGGTAGGGCGGCGTTGACAACTCTCAGAAGCACATTGTCCTTCCCCTACAGGTGCTCATGGCTTTTGACATGTCTCAAAAGGCTTTTGAGATGTCTCAAAAGGCTTTTGAGACGTCTCAAAAGTCCTTCCCCTACAGGTGCTCATGGTTTTCACCTTCCACCAACGCCTCGGGCGTTCTTGAGTAGAGCTGCGGGAACAGGGTGGCAACAAGGGAGGGCGGCACGAGGGACGGTGGCAACGATTGTGTAGTTGAACGGACTTACTGAGTCTTTTCTCTGCTCTCTTTTTCTACCAGGGAGTTTATTCTAGCAACTATCAAAGCCCTCCCAATTGGCTTGCTGCAATCACATCCGTGCAAGCACCACCCACCCACCCACCTTGGACACGAAAGCCCTCTCCTCCAGTACTGCTTCCCTCTCCCCCTCTGCACCGCTCCCTCCCTTGGTCTCTACTGGACTGGAGGGGTGGACATGCAATCATCCGCCGTGCAAGCACCTCCCACTCACCCGGGACATCAGCGCCCTCTGCTCCAGTACTGCTTCGCTCTCTCCATCTGCAGCTCTCATCCTTAGCCTAAACCATACCGGACATACAATATTGCAACACGCAAGCACCACCCACCCACCTTGGACACCAGAGCCCTCTCCTCCGTAGTTGCTTCCCTCTCCCCCTCTGCACCGCTCTCTCCCTTGGTTTAAACCGGATTGGCTAGAGGGGACATGCAATCATAGCACCACCCACTCGCCCGGGACACCAAAGCCCTCTCCTCCATAACTGCTGCAATCTCCCCCTCTGCAGCACTCTCTCACTTTGCAGCACTCTCTCACGTAGACTAAACCAGGCTGGCAATCATCCGTCTTACAAGCATTCCCCACTCACCCGAGACACCAGCGCCCTCTCCTCCATGACTGCTTCACTCTCCTTGTCCGCATTCGCTGCCATAGCTTTCTTCTCCCGCACCTTTCTCAGCTGGCTTGCACGTGTGTGTGTGGGGGAGGGGGTTGGGGTATGGGGGTGAGGGAAAGAGGACGGAGAGAGGGAGTGTTGACTCTTGAGACTCGCGACAGTTACTGGACAGAAGAGACTCATAACGTACAGCAGCAGTATGCTCGCTCGTATTATCCAAGTACGATAACCACTTCTGGAAACAAAGGAAACACTTCGAACGGGGAATAAGTTCTTGAAAGAGCACGCACGCATGGGCTTCATGGCCTTGCATGGCCCTAGCTTCGGCCCTAGCTTTGGCCCTAGCTTCGGCATGCTGCTCTTTCTCTCCCCTTCCTCCCTCCCATGCAACTCGTTCAGCAGGGCCCAGCAGGGCCGTTCGTTCCCACGCTGCTCAATTCAGCCCCAACTCCCTCGCCCTCCCACCATCCCACCTGTGCATGCAGAGCGCGAATAGGCTTCAGGCCATATTCCTCAGGACTCTGCCCTCTCTACCCCCCCTTCTCCCTCTCACCTCTGCACTCCTTCCCTCCCTTGGTCTTATCACCCCACCTGTGCATGCAGTGCGCGAATGGGCTTCATGGCCTTCTCCTCCAGCATCAGCAGCACCTGTAGGACGGGCGAGATACGGAGATTATTAGATGCCTGAGAGTGCGTGGAGGAAGGGCTTCATGGCCTTCTCCTCCAGCACCAGCAGCACTTGTTCAAGGGGGGAGAGATGGGAGAGGGCAGGGAACCGGGAGGGGTCGGGAAAGCGTGAGGGAGAAGTGACAGGGGGAATTGGGACGATAGGTGCCTGCGAGTGCGCGGAGGAAGGGCTTCATGGCCTTCTCCTCCAGAATCAGCAGCACCTGCATGAGGGGGGAGATGGGGAGGGCAGGGAACCGGGAGGGGTCGGGAAAGCGTGAGGGAGAAGTGACAGGGGGAATTCGGATGATTCATGCCTGCGAGTGCGCGGAGGAAGGGCTTCATGGCCTTCTCCTCCAGAATCAGCAGCACCTGCATGAGGGGGGAGATGGGGAGGGCAGGGAACCGGGAGGGAAGGGGAAAGCGTGAGGGAAAAGTGACAGGGGGGATTGGGATGATAGGTGCCTGCGGGTGCGCAGACGGGTTTCATGGCCTTCTCCTCCAGCATCAGCAGCACCTGCACATGGGGGAATATCGGAGAGGTGACCGATAAATCTTGGGAGCACACTGCAAAACGGACTAGATTTGAGTCGCTTTTGAAATTTCTCAGAATCTCAACAAAGCTTCCGCTCAGTTATCAACAAATGACTCGCTTCGTGCGACTACAAATGAGAGAGCTACAGGGTCAAACGTGGAGAACAAATAGGCCGAACAAGTGGCAAATGTGCAACTCGCAACGTGCTGCTGAAGCAGATTGACGATACCTAAGACACTCTACAACAGCACTTGAACGGTGAACCTGCCACCGCCCACCCCCCAACACTCAATAGCCATCCATCCCCAACAATTCCCCAGCCACCCCCCACCCTTCCATCCCATTCTCTTTGTCGCAGTCAACCCTCACCCACTGGAACAGAAATAACGGACCATGGATGCTTTCCTACACACACTGTTGGCTTCCTCTATTGCCTCTCAATTGCCTTAAACTACCTGAAATGAAAAATTGACCAACAGCTTCTTTTTGCCTCTTGGCAGAAAAAAAAGTCAATCTAAACTGCTATTGGGCAAAGACCAAAGTCGTCGATACTACCTGCTGTCGTCGCTTGGCTGGCAGCTGTTTCAGCACTTGGCTCTTGAGCCGCCGGATCATGACCGTACCGCTCAGCACCGCATGCAACTCCTCCCGATTGCTAGAGCCTGTGAATTCTCCGAATCTTCCCTGGAGTTGACAAAGATAGATGCAGGGAAGACGTAAACACTTACTGTGCATGCAAGCATGCAAAAACGCGAGTACAAACGCACAAAGCACCAAAAAACATGCATGTAACAACATACCCATGAGCAAAAACACTTGGAAATTGAACGTGACCTGCTGGTACAGCATTGAACCACTCACCCTCCCGGTCGGCAGTACCTCTTGCCACTGAATGTAACCTGTTGCTACCGCATCCAACCACTCACCCCGCGGCAGTACCTATTGCCGTACTCTCCCAGCTTGTGGTAGGCACGAGGCAGAAGCGCCTCCAGCTGAAAGGCATTGATTCATGGGAGGACGGGATGGGGAACAGCGGGGGATGCTCGGACCACTGAAACGAACAATGCGGCAAAGAATGAGGGGCCTCAGAAGTCACCCCGCGGCAGTACCTATTGCCGTACTCTCCGAGCTTGCGGTTGGCACGAGGCTGAAGCGCATCCAGCTGGAAGGGAGGAAAGGAAGGGAGGGGATGGGGGGAATGACTTTTTGGCACTAAAAAGAAAGACAGGAATGAAGTGACAGGGCGCAGCAGGCAGGGGACGCTTGGGCCGCAGGAGGGAATGGTGTTGCGATAGGGGGATGAAGATGGGGCGAGGGGAGCGGAGATGAGGCAGCGAGGGTTGAGATGGGGCAAGGGAAGGTGAGATGCAAGAAAGGGACAACATGATGTAAGTGCACGCAGAAATGACTTTCGAGTCGATTCAAAAGTCAACTCGAGAATGGGACAACATGATGTAAGTGCACGCAGAAATGACTTTCGAGTCGATTCAAAAGTCAACTCGAGAATGGGACAACATGATGTAAGTGCACGCAGAAATGACTTTTGAGTCGATTCAAAAGTCAACTCGAGAATGGGACAACATGATGTAAGTGCACGCAGAAATGACTTTTGAGTCGATTCAAAAGTCAACTCGAGAATGGGACAACATGATGTAAGTGCACGCAGAAATGACTTTCGAGTCGATTCAAAAGTCAACTCGAGAATGGGACAACATGATGTAAGTGCACGCAGAAATGACTTTTGAGTCGATTCAAAAGTCAACTCGAGAATGGGACAACATGATGTAAGTGCACGCAGAAATGACTTTTGAGTCGATTCAAAAGTCGACTCGAGAACGGGACAACATGTTGTAAGTGCACGCAGAATTTTTCCTTGACCTCATGCGCAAGTCCATGCGCGCACACTCATCATAGATATGAGGGGAAACAGCAGACACATGCAGGGGCACAGCAACATATCCAGCTCGGCAATACGTGGTTGCTTAAACAGGTCGATGCATGTGGGTGGACCCAACCCAATGTATCCACACACGCACGCACGCATGCATACCCCTCACAGCAACCCAACACCATGTATGTAGCTCACAAGAACATATCTACCTCACCAACACGTGCCTGCTTAAACCGGGGTACACATTCAAAATGGGGAACAGAAAAATTGGGGGTTCAGGCCAGATTTGGCCGTAATGTGGGCATCAAGGGATAACCCCTGATGCCCACCCAGGTGAATGTGCACCCCGGTTTTAAACAGGTCGATGCATGTGGGTGGAGCCAATCCAATGAATCCATTACACACGCTCACATGCATACCCCTCACAGCAACCCAGCACCATGTATACAGCTCACAAGAACATAGGTGGCTCCGCAGCACGTGCCTGCTTGAAGAGGTCGATGGGGCGTGAGAGGGCAGGCGTGCCTGTGAGAAGAATGGCCCTGTTGGCTTTCTGGTGACAGGGATTGAGAGGGCGCAGTGCAGATAAGGACGAAACATCAAGGCGGTCAACGGGGGTCAACGTAGGGTCTTTTGAGTTGACTATGCTTGTATTGTATCTCTTTCAAACAGATTCTCTAAATGACACATGCATTGAAGAGAGTCAGAACATCTATACAGTCAACTGTCAATGGGATCAGCAAAATGACTCGAAATGACGCAAGCAAATGCTTTCACCACCAGCTTGAATGGAGAATGTCAAGCGCAATCAACAGAGTCAAGAATAGTCAATGAGAGTCAAAGAGCTGTAACGACTCAGTCGGGCACATACTAAACAGGGTGGAAGAAAGTTAGTGCGCACCGCAACAAGCACATACTTACAAAAGGATGCAGAATGGCCAAGAGCACCATCGTGCTTGTCTTACGGCACCTCAGAAGAGGGCGGCCGGAGCAAGAGCATCCTGCTCACCTGCAGTCGTGGTACGGCCAGGCCTGTGCGTTTGGCTTTGTAGTTCTTGAGGTAGTGTGACTCGTCTGCTATCACCACCTGCCAGGCAGGTACACGCATGGGGAAGGGGGGGTTGATGCATGTGGGGTGCATGTGATGCAGGCGTGGAACAGCCAGGCCTGTGCGCTTGGCCTTGTAGTTCTTGAGGTAGTGTGACTCGTCTGCTATCACCACCTGGTAGTGCATGCGTTCACGGGGGATGGATGGGATGCTGAATGTTATGTAATGCACTTGCTGGTGCGAGTGCAGTGAGGTGAGCTGGGCGTGAGTGCAGCAAGAGGGGTTTAGTGCCTCGACTCACCTTAAACGGCTCCTCTGGCTGCTCCAGGCGATCAAGCAGGTCGTACGAGACAATGTTGAAGGGTGATTGCAGCGAGAGCGGCTGGTTGCGAGTGCAGCGGACGAAGTTAAACCCGTTGATGCTGCGAGTGGCGCCACCCTGAGGCATGACCACCTGACAGGGAAATTGGGGAACGGGGAATGAGGTAAGAGGCATGGGGCATGGGGATAGGCGCATGGGGCTGGTTGCGAGTGTAGCGGACAAAGCTGAACCAGTTGATGCTGCGAGTGGTACCGCCCTGAGGCATCACCACCTGACAGGGATTGGGGAACGGGGGATGGGGAATGGGGCACAGGGAACGGGGGATGGGCGTGGGGCATGAGGTAAGGGGTGTGGGTCTGGTTGCGAGTGCAGCGGACGAAGTTGAACCCGTTGATGCTGCGAGTGGTACCGCCCTGAGGCATCACCACCTGACAGGGAGGGCAGTGCAAGCGGTAAGGCGTGGGACATGGGGATGCAGGGCATGGGGCTAGATGCATGGGGCTAGGAGCATGGGCCTAGGTGCACGGGGCTGGTTGTGAGTGCATCGCACGGAGTTGAACCCCTTGATGCTGCGAGTGGCCCTGCCCTGAGGCATCACCACCTGACAGAAAGCAGGGGGGAGGGGATGGTGGATGGGGCATGGGGCATGTGGTCTGGGACATGATACATGAGACATACGGAATGGGGTAAAGTGGTGGGAATGGTTGCGAGTGCATCGCACAGAATTGAACCTGTTGATTGATGCTGCGAGGGGCCCGACCTGAGGCATCACCACCTGACAGAAGGCAGAATCGGAGGGCATGGCATGGCATGGCAAGGCACGGATGACAGGGTGTGGCAAGTGCATGGCATGGCATGGCATGGCATGGCATGGCATGGCATGGCATGGCATGGCATGGCATGACACGGATGACAAGGGTGTGGCAAGCGCATGGTATGACATGGCGTGGCATGGCATGGCATGGATGACATGGATTTTTCCAATTTCCACATAACTCACCGTGATGTCTTCAGGAGGCAGGTCGAGCCACCGCATGATGCTCTGCCATGGTGCATGCAGGGAAGTGGGGTGGGCGGGGGATGATGGGGTTGGTTGTGGGGGTGATGAGGGTGATGAAGAAGAGAAGGGAGAGGTTGAGCCACCGCATGATGCTCTGCCATGGTGCACATGCAGGGAAGTGAGGTGGGGAATGGTGGGGGGGTGGGGGGGGTGGTGAAGAAGAAAAGGGAGACGTTGAGGCAGCGCACAATGCTCTGCCATTGAAGAGGGAGATTGTGGAGAACGGAAGGAGGAGATGTGATAGCGTAGGAGGAATGGACGTACGACTATCCCATCCCATCCCATCCCATCTCTCCCCGTTCCGCGACTCCCCCCATGTATTGAGCCGATTTCTGAGGCGCCTAAAGTATTGAAATGGCAGATATGCGATGCAACCATCTCATTCCACAACTCCTTCCCTCACACACTATCACAACTATCACATGTCGTACCATGGCTGGCAGCACATGGCCCACCATTTCATGGGAATGGCCTTACCATGGCCCAGTGCAGGCGCAGAGAGGAGGGCGCAATGACAAGCACAGGCCACTCGTCCCTGTAGCATGCTGCCAGCCCTATGGCTTGCAGGCTGCAGCACTGCATTTCTCTGCACCAACCGGCCTTACTGTATTCTCGTGCAAACACCAACGGAATGCCTCACTCACCACAGCCCAGTGCAGGCGCAGAGAGGACGGAGCGATGACAAGCACAGGCCACTCGTCCCTGTAGCATGCTGCCAGCCCTATGGCCTGCACGGTCTTGCCCAGCCCCATCTCATCTGCTATCAGCACTCGCCCACCTCTTGAGAGTGCGAACCTGGGCAGGAAGGGGAGAGGGGGGTAGAGGAGAGGAGAGGAGAGGAGGAGAGGAGAGGGCATTGTGTGAGGTAGCAAGACTGGCGGGCCAGCCTCGTCCGCTATTAGCACTCTGCCGCCTCTTGAGAGCGCAAACCTGGGCAACAGAGGGAGGGGGAGGAAGAGGGGATGAGAGAATGCAGTCAGCACTGCCAGCCCTATGGCCTGCACCGTCTTACCCAGCCCCATCTCGTCCACTATCAGCACCCGGCCACCACGTGAGAGAGCGAACCTGGGCAGGAAGGGGAGAGGGGGGGAGAGGAAGAGGAGATGGCATAGTGTGAGGCAGGGAGAGTGGCAGGCCAGCCTGATGGCCGGCATGCACCGTCTTGGCCAAGCCCATCTCGTCCGCTATCAGCACCCGGCCACCACGTGACAGAGCGAATTTGGAAGATTGAGGGCGAGGAGAGGAGAGAACATGGTGTGAGGCAGCGAGAATGACACGGTCTTGCCCAGCCCCATCTCATCCACTATCAACACCCGGCCGCCTCTTGAAAGAGCGAACCTAGAAGAGGAAGAGAAGGGGAGAGGAACGAGCAAGTGGAGAGGGCATGGTGTGAGGCAACAAGACTAACAGCCCAGCCCTATGGTCTGCACGGTCTTGCCCAGCCCCATCTCATCCACTATCAACACCCGGCCGCCTCTTGAAAGAGCGAACCTAGAAGAGGAAGAGAAGGGGAGAGGAACGAGCAAGTGGAGAGGGCATGGTGTGAGGCAACAAGACTAACAGCCCAGCCCTATGGTCTGCACGGTCTTGCCCAGCCCCATCTCATCCACTATCAACACCCGGCCGCCTCTTGAAAGAGCGAACCTAGCAAGAGAGGGAGGCGCGAGGAGAGGGAATGATGTGAGTGAAGCAGCGAGACTAGCAGCCTGGTCTGCACTGTCATGCTCCGCCCCATCTCATCCACTTCAGCACCCAGCCGCCTCTTGAAAGAGCGAACCTAGCAAGAGAGGGAGGCGCGATGAGAGGGGATGATGTGAAGCAGCGAGACTAGCAGCCTGGTCTGCACTGTCCTGCCCAGCCAGCCCCATATCTCGTCTGCTATCAACACCCGGCCGCCACTTGAAAGAGCAAGACTAGCAGCATGGTCTGCACCGTCTTGCCCAGCCCCGTCTCGCCTGCTATCAACACTTGTAAACCTCGTGAGAGAAAAGCTATCGAGATTCAACTCACAACCATCAAACCACGCGTGAAGGGTATTTTGAGAATGCTCAATAATACCCTGCAGCTCACAACCACCGAGTCCATGCGCGAACATAAACTCGTCTGCAAGTTTACAGAGATGGGGGTGGAGACGACTGCAGGTTCTCATCGTCTCGCAAAAGGGAATGGAAATGGGAATGGGCTGAAGCGTACGGATCCACCATTTCTCATTTGCTATCCCGTTTGCTATCTCCAACTATCAGCACATGAGATGAGAGAGAGTGAAACCAGGGTAGCAGGGCAGGAAGGGGAAAGAGGAGACGAGACCAAAGGAGAGCAACGAGTCGCGTCACGTCGCACTCACTGCATGCCTTGCTCTTGGAAGGGCATCAGAAGCTCCCGAAAGCCATCCGGCAAGTCAAAGTAACGACCTGCGCAAGAGACGAGAGGCGCGACAAGAGAGAGGATGACGGGAAACTAGAGATCACAAGGTGGCGTTGAGGCGCCTCAAAAGTTTTGAGACGCCTCAAGAGACGAGAGGCGCGACAAGGGAGAGGATGACGGGAGACTAGAGGTCACAAGGTGGCGTTGAGGCGCCTCAAAAGTTTTGAGACGCCTCAAGAGACAAGAGATGCAACAAGAGAGAGGATGACAGGAGACTAGAGATAACGAGGTGGAGGAGCAGTAGCTGAAATTCTGAATCTTTGAAGCGCCTGAAAAATCACTTAAAAAAAATGGTAAGCAACAAGCCACAGGGGGGAGAAGGATGGGGCGGGACTGGAGAGTGGTGCAGAGGAATATTTTTGGGGTGCCTCAGAAACAGGGAATAGCGGGTGGTGCGGAGGAACGGGTGCGGAGGAACGGGTGCCGAGGAACGGGTGCTGGACATCAAGGGATCCTCCACTGAGAAATCATCTCAAGAGCACAGCTCCCAGTTTGGGTCAGCTGAATTCAGACTCTCTGAGATTTCTCCGAAGCTCTACTGCAATTCCACATGCATTTCAAACAGCCGTTGCCTTTAAACCCAAGCTAAACCGCACAGGGTGAGAGGTGGTAGAATTTGAGTCCACTCAGAAGTCATCTTGAGCTGGTGTGGTGTCTGCAGCACTGGTGGCAACAGTTTTTGAGATTTCTCGGTGATCATTTTGAGAACCCTTGAACTCCTTTTCTAACAACTGAAAAAGAACTCTCACAACGACTTGCCTGAATCGTCTGGAAGCTTGGCTGTCTCCTCGAGTGCTCGCTTCATCATGGGTGGCAACGGGTCCACCTGTGGTGGCAGGGGGAAGAGAAAGAGAGCAAGAGAGTGGACGAGAGCAAAGCCACTTCTGAGAAATCTCAAATGTGTCTCTTCGAGTGCTCGCTTCACCACGGGTGGCAACGGGTCCACCTGGGGCAGCAGTAGGGTGGGAGCAAGAGAGCACCCATAGCCCCTTCCACTTGCATCACTCACTGACCTTGCAGATTGCAGTGTGGCACTCTCTCACTCACCTCCACGTCACGTGTTGGCACTGATCGTACGGCTTCAAGAAAAGCGTCCAGGGAGGAGAGCGGGAACACCCACAGGCTCTTCCACTTGCAGCACACCCTCCCCTGCCAGACTGCACTGCTGTGCTCTCACTCACCTCCACGTCACATGTCACACACCCACTCACCCGTCACATGTCACTCTCTCACTCACCTCTTCGTCACGTGTTGGCACTGATCGTACGGCTTCAAGAAAAGCGTCCAGGGAGGAGAGCGGGAACACCCACAGGCTCTTCCACTTGCAGCACACCCTCCCCTGCCAGACTGCACTGCTGTGCTCTCACTCACCTCCACGTCACATGTCACACACCCACTCACCCGTCACATGTCACTCTCTCACTCACCTCCACGTCACGTGTTGGCACTGATCGTACGGCTTCAAGAAAAGCGTCCAGGGAGGAGAGCGGGAACACCCACAGGCTCTTCCACTTGCAGCACACCCTCCCCTGCCAGACTGCACTGCTGTGCTCTCACTCACCTCCACGTCACATGTCACACACCCACTCACCCGTCACATGTCACTCTCTCACTCACCTCCACGTCACGTGTTGGCACTGATCGTACGGCTTCAAGAAAAGCGTCCAGGGAGGAGAGCGGGAACACCCACAGGCTCTTCCACTTGCAGCACACCCTCCCCTGCCAGACTGCACTGCTGTGCTCTCACTCACCTCCACGTCACATGTCACACACCCACTCACCCGTCACATGTCACTCTCTCACTCACCTCCACGTCACGTGTTGGCACTGATCGTACGGCTTCAAGAAAAGCGTCCAGGGAGGAGAGCGGGAACACCCACAGGCTCTTCCACTTGCAGCACACCCTCCCCTGCCAGACTGCACTGCTGTGCTCTCACTCACCTCCACGTCACATGTCACACACCCACTCACCCGTCACATGTCACTCTCTCACTCACCTCCACGTCACGTGTTGGCACTGATCGTACGGCTTCAAGAAAAGCGTCCAGGGAGGAGAGCGGGAACACCCACAGGCTCTTCCACTTGCAGCACACCCTCCCCTGCCAGACTGCACTGCTGTGCTCTCACTCACCTCCACGTCACATGTCACACACCCACTCACCCGTCACATGTCACTCTCTCACTCACCTCCACGTCACGTGTTGGCACTGATCGTACGGCTTCAAGAAAAGCGTCCAGGGAGGAGAGCGGGAACACCCACAGGCTCTTCCACTTGCAGCACACCCTCCCCTGCCAGACTGCACTGCTGTGCTCTCACTCACCTCCACGTCACATGTCACACACCCACTCACCCGTCACATGTCACTCTCTCACTCACCTCCACGTCACGTGTTGGCACTGATCGTACGGCTTCAAGAAAAGCGTCCAGGGAGGAGAGCGGGAACACCCACAGGCTCTTCCACTTGCAGCACACCCTCCCCTGCCAGACTGCACTGCTGTGCTCTCACTCACCTCCACGTCACATGTCACACACCCACTCACCCGTCACATGTCACTCTCTCACTCACCTCCACGTCACGTGTTGGCACTGATCGTACGGCTTCAAGAAAAGCGTCCAGGGAGGAGAGCGGGAACACCCACAGGCTCTTCCACTTGCAGCACACCCTCCCCTGCCAGACTGCACTGCTGTGCTCTCACTCACCTCCACGTCACATGTCACACACCCACTCACCCGTCACATGTCACTCTCTCACTCACCTCCACGTCACATGTCGGCACTGATTGTATGGCTTCAAGAAAAGCGTCCAGGGAGGAGAGCGGGAACACCCACAGGCTCTTCCACTTGCAGCACACCCTCCCCTGCCAGACTGCACTGCTGTGCTCTCACTCACCTCCACGTCACATGTCACACACCCACTCACCCGTCACATGTCACTCTCTCACTCACCTCCACGTCACGTGTTGGCACTGATCGTACGGCTTCAAGAAAAGCGTCCAGGGAGGAGAGCGGGAACACCCACAGGCTCTTCCACTTGCAGCACACCCTCCCCTGCCAGACTGCACTGCTGTGCTCTCACTCACCTCCACGTCACATGTCACACACCCACTCACCCGTCACATGTCACTCTCTCACTCACCTCCACGTCACGTGTTGGCACTGATCGTACGGCTTCAAGAAAAGCGTCCAGGGAGGAGAGCGGGAACACCCACAGGCTCTTCCACTTGCAGCACACCCTCCCCTGCCAGACTGCACTGCTGTGCTCTCACTCACCTCCACGTCACATGTCACACACCCACTCACCCGTCACATGTCACTCTCTCACTCACCTCCACGTCACGTGTTGGCACTGATCGTACGGCTTCAAGAAAAGCGTCCAGGGAGGAGAGCGGGAACACCCACAGGCTCTTCCACTTGCAGCACACCCTCCCCTGCCAGACTGCACTGCTGTGCTCTCACTCACCTCCACGTCACATGTCACACACCCACTCACCCGTCACATGTCACTCTCTCACTCACCTCCACGTCACGTGTTGGCACTGATCGTACGGCTTCAAGAAAAGCGTCCAGGGAGGAGAGCGGGAACACCCACAGGCTCTTCCACTTGCAGCACACCCTCCCCTGCCAGACTGCACTGCTGTGCTCTCACTCACCTCCACGTCACATGTCACACACCCACTCACCCGTCACATGTCACTCTCTCACTCACCTCCACGTCACGTGTTGGCACTGATCGTACGGCTTCAAGAAAAGCGTCCAGGGAGGAGAGCGGGAACACCCACAGGCTCTTCCACTTGCAGCACACCCTCCCCTGCCAGACTGCACTGCTGTGCTCTCACTCACCTCCACGTCACATGTCACACACCCACTCACCCGTCACATGTCACTCTCTCACTCACCTCCACGTCACGTGTTGGCACTGATCGTACGGCTTCAAGAAAAGCGTCCAGGGAGGAGAGCGGGAACACCCACAGGCTCTTCCACTTGCAGCACACCCTCCCCTGCCAGACTGCACTGCTGTGCTCTCACTCACCTCCACGTCACATGTCACACACCCACTCACCCGTCACATGTCACTCTCTCACTCACCTCCACGTCACGTGTTGGCACTGATCGTACGGCTTCAAGAAAAGCGTCCAGGGAGGAGAGCGGGAACACCCACAGGCTCTTCCACTTGCAGCACACCCTCCCCTGCCAGACTGCACTGCTGTGCTCTCACTCACCTCCACGTCACATGTCACACACCCACTCACCCGTCACATGTCACTCTCTCACTCACCTCCACGTCACGTGTTGGCACTGATCGTACGGCTTCAAGAAAAGCGTCCAGGGAGGAGAGCGGGAACACCCACAGGCTCTTCCACTTGCAGCACACCCTCCCCTGCCAGACTGCACTGCTGTGCTCTCACTCACCTCCACGTCACATGTCACACACCCACTCACCCGTCACATGTCACTCTCTCACTCACCTCCACGTCACGTGTTGGCACTGATCGTACGGCTTCAAGAAAAGCGTCCAGGGAGGAGAGCGGGAACACCCACAGGCTCTTCCACTTGCAGCACACCCTCCCCTGCCAGACTGCACTGCTGTGCTCTCACTCACCTCCACGTCACATGTCACACACCCACTCACCCGTCACATGTCACTCTCTCACTCACCTCCACGTCACGTGTTGGCACTGATCGTACGGCTTCAAGAAAAGCGTCCAGGGAGGAGAGCGGGAACACCCACAGGCTCTTCCACTTGCAGCACACCCTCCCCTGCCAGACTGCACTGCTGTG